CTTTCCTTTCCTTTCCTTTCCTTTCCTTTCCTTTCCTTTCCTTTCCTTTCCTTTCCTTTCCTTTCCTTTCCTTTCCTTTCCTTTCCTTTCCTTTCTCCTTTTAAACCCTATATTGGGTGCAGTTCTGGGTTCCCCAGTACAGGAGTGATGTGGAGCTTCTAGAGAGGGCCCAGTGGAGGGCAACAAAGGCAATTAAGGGGCTGGAGCATCTRTCGTACCAGGAAAGACTAAGCGAGCTGGACCTGGTTAGCCTGGAGAAGAGAAGGCTGAGAGGGGATCTGATCAATATGTACAAATACCTGAAGGGKGAATGTAGGGAGGAAGGGGCCAAGCTCTTCTCAGTGGTGGCCAGTGACAGGACAAGGGCAAATGGGTGTAAGTTGCAACACAGCAAGTTCCATCTCCATGTGAGGAGGAACTTCTTTCCTGTGAGGGTGACAGAGCCCTGGCACAGGCTGCCCAGGGAGGCTGTGGAGTCTCCTTCTCTGGAGGTCTTCAAACCAGCCTAGAKGTCACCCTGTGCCACATGCTCTGGGTGTGCCTGCTGAAACAGGCAGGGGTGAAACAGGGGGGATGGTCTCTAGAGGTCCCTTCCAACCTCAACCAGTCTGTGGTTCTGTGGAAAAAAAATGAAACTTCTCTTAATAATCTGGAGAGTGTGCAGAAAAGTGTTCCCTTCRCCTTTCATTCCTGCAGGCAAAAACACATTAGATAAATTAGTTGGATAAGAACCAAATATTTGCCATTCTACTTGTTTATTCTGTTCAATTTATTCTGTTCAATTTTTTGTTTGTTTTGTGTTGACTGTGTACCAGAAAAATCCTGGCATGGGTCCAGCTCAGCCAAGCTGTATGTATTAGTTGTTGACTGTGGATAGATTTGTACAAGAGGGAGACTGATTATGAAAAACAGGTTTTTTTCTGGATGACAGCATAGATGCAGTTAATGTTCCAGGGTGTTTGCCATCTCAAACTGGCTGAAATTCCTCAGGAAATTTGTGCCAACTGTGGATGGTTTTAGAGRTACACTGAAGACAAAGAAAGCTTTAATCCCAGCTTAGTGAAATCTTATTGCCTCACTGCTCTGCTTCCTGCTGCACCCGTGTTACGAAAGCATCCTTAGACCTAATCRCCGGGCAGGGCATCCCATGGAGGAGGTGAGAAGGCCCCAAACAGCAGGTGCCAGTGCTTGTGTTCACAGGCAAAATGCTGYCGTGCCCTGGGCTAAGTATTTGATAAAAGGCAAGCTTGGCCAGGTGCTTTTAGTTGTGACTCCCTCTCATTGCTTTTTATCCATAGGGGTCAGTTATAAGGAGAAGCTCTGGCCTTTAGCATGTGCTTCCAGCAGCCTTTCTAGGAGCTGTCTGGAGGAGGAGGAGGAGCGCTTGCCTCTTCAGTAAGACGTGGCCCTATGCGAATGGCCCAGAGTCTCTGCCTGGCTGGGACGTGCCTGGYTTGGGGTAAATAATGAATACCTTTAGGGAGAGCATGTGATGGGGCATGGAGGGCTGGATCTCTCTGTGCCTGGGCTGTGCAAGAGGAATGAAAATACTTRGAGAAAAACAGCCACGGAGAAAAGATCCTACCAGAACAAGATAAACAGGCTTTCCAGGCTAAATATGCACCTGCACTGGCTGRTAAAGAAGACTACATTTCACCCTTGAAAACTACTGCTCCTTAGAAGAACAAAGAGGGTGTTTCACYCCAAGCTGTTTCAGTACTTTTTTTTTGTCCTGCTTTTAACAATTAAAAAAAGTCCCTTCCTATCCACCTGTGAAAACAAAGCATTTGGTTTGCAGTTGAATAAAATATTCTAGTCAAAAAGAAACAAAATTCTGCTTTTACTTCCTTATTCTGAAAATCAATTTAAAAGGTAGTTTTTGGTCATCTGGAAGCAACTGATTTGTATTACCAGAAAAGCAGGAGTGTTAGATAGTGGTGCCTCAACTGAAGCTCTTTATTTGAGCTTGCACAATTCTTGGTGCCTTGTTCACCCGCAGGAGCAGTAGGACTGGGAGTGACAGTAGATTTTGGGCAGAACGGCAGCTTCCAGCTCTGGGAAGGACATGGATATTGCAGAAAAGGAGAAGAGGTCTGGCTCAGTTTGGCTTTGCTCTTTGGAAATCACATCATCTGTTGCCATCGTGATCCTAAACTCTCTATATTCGTGATTTTTTTTTTTTAAATCTTTTTCTAAATGTGTTTCTCCCTTCATGTGTAGATAGCTGATAATAGCAGGTCTGTTACTGTGTAGGCATCCTTTACAGAGCCATTTAATGTAGTTTGCGGTTGACAGATTGAAAACTACTGTTCTAGGAGAAGTCAGGTCATGCAGGCCAGGTATTTTATGAGAAGAATTTGTTTGTCAAAACAGAAGTTCCTAGCTTCAGAATATAACATCTAGACCCATTTTCAGGTTAGAAATAATCCCTGCTTAAGAGCACAAGACTGTGCAGGAGTGTTTGCTGTTTGAATCTGTCTTGTTAATTGTTTTAAAATCTTGGAGAAGGTGAATGATGAGGAAGTGGGGCTTTCTGTATTCAGGCAACCTTGTATCTTATTTTTTTACTAGGTTTTGCCATTCCTCTATTTGATGTAATTTTAAAGCACCGTATTTCTGTTGTGGCAGGTGAAAGCACTGACAGATCAAAGGGAATTGGAAGTGTGTGTTAGTAGAATCAATAAGCAGGATTTGAAAAATGCACGTCTTAACTTTGAAGTTACCTGCTCGATAATAGATACTTTACATATTTTGGATATTTTAACGAGGAGTGACTGATCTTGATGCAAGTAATGCTATCCCTTGAGTTACCTCTCTGTCTCTGTTTCTCTTTTCTCCCCCCCTTTCTCTTGTTTCTCCCCTCTTTAGGCAAGAAGATCCACCGAAGCCTTTTTTGCTGCACCCATGCTTGAGGAGCTCTGACGAAGAAGTAAGATTCCTGCAAAAATGTTCTCAAATTCTGGTGTATTGTCTCCTACCCTCAAAGGATGTCCGGTCTGTCAGCTTGCGCATAGTCCTTGCAGAAATACTTGCAACAAAAGGTAGATCAAAGATCAGAGATGATTAAACGACTTGCACCTGACCAGTATAAGTAATTACAGACTTCATAATGTATAAGTCTTGATGCTTTGCTTTTAACCTCTGAAATTTAATTTCTGTGACAACCAGTACATGCAGAGATTAGACTTGCACAGACAACCACCCAGAGCACTGGTTAGTTGTAGGACCCGATCCTATGAGACAGCAGAGTATTTCATAGCATTTTATGCTATGCTATGCWATAAAGGCCAGTAACTCTGTATAGATGAGGCCAGTAAAACTCCTTATATTCTCAAAATGAAGAATATGCTTAATGGGTGTCCTGATTTCATACCAGACTGTTTGGCACCTCTAAGGATAAAACCCTATTTATTCGCTCTCTCTATAGAGGAAATCTTTTACAGTCTCCATTAGCATTATTTTTGGTGATTGTATGAATAATCCTGACCTTTTTATGCTTTAATCAAATATGTAGATTTCTAGACGTAAGGATCTGATGGTAACTGAATTAGGATACCAGATGTAACTGTCGACTTCTGCACTCTTTAATTTATATGTGTTTGTTTGTTTTTTAGACCGAATACTTTCTATTTTGCTTTATTTTATCGGATACACTTTAATGAGATTATAAATATATAGGTAACTTTTTTGTCACTAAAATTAAATAATGAAAGTCATGAAGTCCCAAGTGTGTTAATTTTAGCTTGTAATAGCTGCTATATGTAGCATAGCTTTCAAAGCGCACAGGAGAAAGTGCAAAAATGCTGTAAATTTTCCAATTTGGGCTCAACTTTATGAATATACATAAATTTATGTAATAGCCTAAACATATGTTTTTCTCAAGAAGAAAGGTACTTAGGCTCAAATGCTCTTGGGGAGTCTAAAAGTCTGGTATTGTGGGCTTTTTATCAGCTTGTATATTTTTGCTTTTTATCCAAAATACTTTCTTGTCATTTTAAGGACAATAGTTATTCTTCAACATAAGGATTTTGTTTTAAAATATTTTTCCTCTCCAGTTCTGAAACCAGTGGTGGAACTGCTGAGTGATCCAGATTATATCAACCAAATGCTGCTCAGCCAGCTGGAGTACAGAGAACAGATGAATGAGCATCACAAGAAAGACTACACATATGCTCCTTCTTACGAGGAGTTCATCAAGCTCATTAACAGCAGCTCTGATATTGAATTCCTGAAACAACTGAGGTATTTGATATTTCACTGTAGCTCATTCAGTATTCACTAAGTATACTCCTTATGCCGACCCATTACTGAGATCTGTATGAACTGTGATTATGTTATTTTATATTATTTTATTTTTGTTATGAAGAGGAGGCTGTAGGAATAAGCCACAACAAATGTTAGATCTCTAAAACAGTCTGTTTTTCAGCTAGCTGGCAAAAAATGTTAAAACACTAAAACTGAGAGTAGTAAGGCTGGAGCTTACTGTGTTGTTGAAAGGCATACCAGACCCTTCTTTGAGTCTTGCCCCTGAGCAGGAAATAGCTGGAATAATGTGTTGAATTTCCACTGATGTGGAACACTGCCACACTGATGTGTGGCATCTCCATGATATCTTTATAAAATAATACTGTCCTTCGGGCTCTGATGACTGTGAACTGTAGCAGCCCTGTGGACACCGGGCATTCAGAGCATTTTGCTGTTTTTCTCTGAGAGGGGAACAAGGATGTGAGTTTCTGCACATTTTGCCACAGGCTCAGACGTTTTCCTGAATTATTACAAGCAGGTATTTCCTATTTGCATCCTTCGGGTACTCTGAGGTATCCTTTAAGGAGCTAACAAAAACACTAAGCCTCTATATATACTGAATCTACGTTTATATAGTGAATCTGTGTTTAACGTTCTTTACTTAGGCAAACAGCATCAGCTCACCTTCAAAGAAATGTATTCCTTCTCCTTMTCCTTATTCTCCTTACCCTCAAATTTCAGATAACTTCTTCCTTCCAACTTCCATCATATTACCTGCATTTCAGGCATGCATGCCCAAGCATAAAGTGTTTATGCCTGCCTTATCTTTGTAGCTGAGCTGTCTCTCTCCTGATTTCCTGTGTAAGTGAAAGGATGAGAAATAAGTCACTGGAAGCAGGCAGCAGAGCTGCTGCTGTGTCAGTATCTCCTTAGATGTCCTTGGGTTGATTCTGTTCATTAGAAAACTGCTGCAGCCATTTACTTGTCACCCAGGCCTCGTGTTRGACCCAGCTTGATCAGCCTGGCTGGTATTTTGTTGAGGGGAAGCACATGGGCTGCAKAAATAACTTTTTTTCTTTTTCTTGTTCTGCCCTGACTCTGAAACAACTTGTGTTTCTGAGACAAGAAAATGTGTTTAGGTGATAGAGTGAAATGATTTTGTTGCTTGGCTGCTTATTGTTCATCTGCTGTAAAATTTGCTCTTTCCTCTGGGCCAGGGTGCTGCTGCTGAGAGCAGAAATTACTCTCTATTAGACGCTATCTAAAACCTAATTGACATCATATTTATTAGCATAATAACACTAATGGATCTGTTTGTTTCAAAAGAAACCCAGCTCTTCTGTTGCTGTTGTTCAGGCACATTAATGCTCAGTGTGCTCTCTTTTTAGCTGATGGGTTGCTTTAAAGTGTGTTCTCTAATATCAGGTGGCAGATTTGCTTTATAAAATAAYGTGGTTTGGCTGCACTTGTGCTTCTGTTTTCCGGTCTGTGCAGTCCAACTACCATCATCTTAAGAGATGTTCTCATACAGGCCGTGTAATGTTGGTTGGTCAGAGCTGATTAGTATTTAGATGGGATACACCTGAGAAAATGTCTCTCTTTTCAAAGAGAAAAGGAAAACAATTTTGGAGGCAGTGCTCTTGCTTTTTCTGTTCGGACTGAGCCCCAGTCCCTGAGGTGGCAGTTAAAAGAGCCCTCCACTATTGGAAGAGGGATTTGCATCCTGCTCGGTACCCATTGCCAGGGGAGCCCCTAGAGAGATGTGACAACCTGTAACCAACTCAGATTTCTGTGGTCCATTTTTCAATACTTGATCTACCTTTATTTTTAAGCTTTATTTTTTGATGTCATTATTTACCAGTGAAAGTTWGAAGAACTTACGTGTGGGGAAAACAAACAGCATTTCCTGTAGGGATGAACAAAATAAAGTATACAAAATAAGCTGTAATACAGAGCAATAAACCATAGGAAAATATATAAGAAAGGAGCTAGAGAAGGAAGTAAATAAGCTATTGTGCAATTGAAATTGAAGGATGAGATTTGGTTCTGTTGAAAGAACAGGAGTGGGAAGATTTTCTCCAGTCACTGGCACACTGCATTTGCCCAGGATTCCCAGTTAGATGCTATTCTGGACAATATTCTATATATCTAAAATTCCTTTTCTTGATCTTATTTGGAAATTATTTTATTTTTTCTTTCATACCTTTATTTTCTGAAAGTTTGCATAGGCCCTTTAGTTACAGCTTTTCATTCAAAAACACAAAAAAACTTCTGGAGAAGGGGAGATTATGTGGCTGTCTAAGGACAGTGGTGTTCTTCAGTACGACCTTTTAAAATATAAACCTTGCAATATTACCTGTCATGAAGGGAGGCAGAATTTTGTTCCTGTTTTTATAAAGTTTCCATAAAGCTTGATGTCTTCATTTCTTTCAAGAAGGAAAATTTACAAGATGAAATCTCACCTCCATTTCCCTTCAGGATTAAGTTAGCATGTGTAAATTGGAAGTCTGCTACAAATAAGGAAGAAAAGATGGATTCTTCCATGTCAGAGAGATGAAACAAATTTAGTTATTGTCAGAGGAAGGCAAGAGATAAAAGACTTAATGAGTTAAGAACATAGCTGAGAATACAGTATGATAAGGAAATAAACTGATAGATAGTTTCCATTCTGTTTTAAAAATCAGCATTGTATTTATTCTGATATTTATGAGCATAGCAGCAAAAGGTCACTTAGCAATTCGTCATAAGAGCAAGACTGTTATCACTGGCTCAGTGTATCATCTTTTACATAAGAATTGATGAAGGGGAGTGAACGTGACAGGGATTCGGGAAAGAGGTAAGAGATGAAAAGGAGAAATAATGCATATGTGGGCCTGTGCTTTCAGGTTTGTCATGAACAATTCATTTTTTGAAAATAAAATTAATACATTGCATTAAAGCTTCCTGAAATGGTTACCTGTCAGTACCACAGAGTATTGAACAGCTAAAATTTTCAGGAGAAACTTGCCAGGAAACAGGGTGATTGTCTGACTGGCCAGCGTAGGTTTCTGTGATGCAGGAAAGCAAATAGGTCCTGTGATTTGGAGGAACAGATTAAATTAATTACATTTATTAATTAAATTATTTACTTTATAATTTATAATTAATTATACATTAAATTAATTAGTGCCTCRGAAGCCATAAATTAGAGCATCTTCTTTACTTGAAAGTGGGCTGTGCAAAACTGCTCATCTGCTCAATGCGGCAGAGACTAGCTGAATTTTGAAATAATTATGGGAGACAAAAGAGTGGGGGGAAATTGCTGATGAAAGAAGTATCTTTTGAAGGAGCATATACTCCAAGGATCGTAGATTGAAATGGAAGATGGTATTCACCAAAATAGGAGACTTCCCAGGAGAGCAGGTTTTATTAAGAGGGAAAGTTGATAGATGAAGTTAAGGAATTTCTACAGCAGCAAGTTCAATTTACAGGAATGTTACACTTGTGTTAATAGCTGGCAAAGAAACGTCAAGAGGATGACATGAGCAGAATTTCTAAGCTTATGAAATATGTAACAGTAACCTTCTGCCCAGAGAGGCTGTGGAGTCTCCTCCTTTGGAGAAACCCTCCTGGATGCCACCCTGTGCTCCGTGCTCTGGGTGTCCCTGCTGGAGCAGGGCGGTTGGACTAGATGATCTCTAGAGGTCCCTGCCAACCTCAACCAGTCTGTGTTTCTGTTACTGATGGGGGCGTTTCTTCACTAAATGCCTGGTATCTACTAGCTACAAATACTGTTTTTCCTTAAAGTTCAGTTTATGGGCTGCATTAGCTGCCTGGCGTTATGTGTAGTGCAGTTTTAGGTGACAAAGAGCTTTTAATTATTCCCAGAGTGTAAACTAGAAGATCTTTTGTCAAGTAGACATGCTTACTGAAAGCATTAGGTAGACAAGCCTTACAGAACATGGCTTTTCTCTTGAACTGAACTCCCATCCTAGCTGCGTTCAGGTAATTATGTTCGGCTCTAATGACAAGACATAGAGTGGCTGTATGTCGTGTTCACCATGTTACTATTTGGGTGTAAAGTGGCAGGAGATGTTTAAGTTTTTGTTAATTCCAAAGTGTGCTGTGTGAAGAACATGCTGAGAGAAGTTAACATCATGTTTTTTCTTTTCTCTCTTCCCTCTTCACCCTCATCCCCCACTGTTTTTAAAACCAGGTATCAGATTGTAGTGGAAATAGTTCAGGCAACCACTATCAGCAATTTTCCCCAAGCGAAGAGGCAGAAAGGTAAGAATCCATTTTGCTAACAGTTTCTTATGTTTCTATTTTAGAAAGTTATTTTAACTCCAGGAAAAAAAATGTATCTAATTGGCTTGTGCTGGTGGTTTTTAGACAAATTTTGGGAAAGATGTGCCTTTGGCATCTTTGCTCTGTTTCGTTTGTCTAGTTCTTCCCAAAACTCCCATTTATACATATACATGTTTCTCCCTCTTCATCTAAGTTGATGGATCAAGGGAAATGTCATGGGATACAGTCAGTTCAGCACTGGCTGCAGCTTGAATTTTTGGCATTGCAGAATCTTATGCTGAGAACCCTGCTTCCTCTTTTGTCAATCCTTTCTTTCAAATGTCAATCTGTTCTCCTTTCAAAACACAGAAGGAGTGATCTGCCATAATTACCAGTCAGGCTTTATTTTGCCTCTTCATTGCATTGTGCTCTTGTGTTGCATTATAGGGTGCTCCTTAATTCTTCAGCAGCGTTTCCATCTGCCTTCTGAGCACTTCTGCCTTTTAAAAGGCATGTGTGCTTGTTGTACTTACAATTGTGATATTTACTTCTCTTTATGGTTCTCAAAATGTACCAGAACTGTGGTATGTCTTCAAGAGGTCTGTGCTGATGACAAAATTCTTTGGCCAAGTTCTTTGTTGGATACATATCCTTAAGACAGCAAAAAATAATTAAAAGTCAAAGGCAGTTTAAATTTGTTTGTAACATAAAATGGAAGAAAGTTTTATGTACTGTATCATGGGCCTTTGGGCCTTTTCCTTCCAAGCTTTCTAAGTACTGATATTCTAGATTTTTTTCTTGTGAGTTTATTGGTACACATATTTTTGTCTCAACAGTCTTGTCCTTAGAGTTGCACATAATCTCTAGATCCTTCCTTTCATGTAAAAGAAACAAAGAAATCCTTTCCTTTAAATAATTCAAGTGTGATGACAAAATGCAAAATTAATAAGACACAACATGCATGAGGAAAAGAATAAGAAAATCAAATAATATAGAGGTTTGTGTCCATCCATTTTTGAAAGTGCAAACTTGTCAATACTAACACTTCTTTATATTCTGAAATGGAGCTGGCTATGCATTTGTGTAGGATAAATTGCTTGTGCAAAAGCAAGGCGAAAGAAAAACTACATATTATGTTTCTGCATAGGTGTGCTTTACAGGAAAAGAGATATTAGAGATTTTTTTCAGAAGAAAGGTAATTTACTGGAAAGGCTGTTAYACAAGGTATTAAAATGAGAAGAAGGAAGTTAATATGCAAGTACATTAAGTAAGAAATCAATCTTTCTGAGGCTGCATTTCCATTTGTGCTAGTGCTGGTCTTTGTTGTCATAAGAATTGATTTAGAGAATATTTTTATGCAGCTCAGGTTCCTCCGGTTAATTACTGATGCTCTGTTCTGTCTCATTTGAGTTTATCTACTTAACTATCAATTACACTAAAACTAAAGATGATGTTCGTCCGACTCTTCAAATGCCCAGTACTGCAGAACAGTTATATAAAAAATAATTACTATTTGTTCTGCCAGATAAAAGTTCTGATTCCACTTACTCTGTTCAAGTTGGTTCTCCATTTTTATGAACTCTTTTACTGTTGTCTGTTCAAAGGAAAAAAAAAAAGCCATCATGCTGAAGTTGTGCATTAAGCTATCGCTTTTATTGCTAATTTAGTTATATGGAAACCTCATATATCATTTAAGAGTTGAGTTGTTGACAGAATTACCGTCACTGACTATGTTAGCCAGTGGAGTTTATTGCAGGAAGCCTTTTATTTATAAAATGGGTAATGGGCATGCACACTGTGCCTGAAGAAAAAGAGCATTTTTTACTTGTCATGTGGAACAGCATGCCCAGAGCTGGCCTGCAATACAATCAYGGTGGTAGTTACACAAGTTTAAGGCAAATTTCCAATCTGTTTCAGTTACTTCACTGATGCTTTCGTCTACCAAAATTTTCAGGCTTAGTCTGCATCCAGTAAAGTGTTGAGAGGATCTTTTAAAAAGTTGAGGGATAAAATCTAGTTCTGAAGATTTTTTGTGTCTTGTTTTTTCTTGAAGTAGATGGAGATCTTTCTCCTAATGTGATTATGGATCTAGTAAGTTCTGGAATTTTAGGGAAAATAGTTACGGAAGAAGCTCTTCTACCTTGCTAATAAATAAATAAATACACAGGTACATGGTAGTACAGGCATCACTGGACTCTTGTAGAAGAGACCACCACGTAAGTGATGTCTCTTCTCTATATGTCCCTTTCCTGATGCCACAGCATACTACCCCTGTAATAGCTGGATTTCACGATGGAAAACCAAACATAAGCTTTACATTAAATGGAAGTTTATGTTTGCATAACCTTATTTTGTCCTTTCCGTAATGCATTCTCCCAGTATCTGCAGCAGCATGTGTGAACATGGATGTTCAGCAGATGACATCTGCCTCTTTCCGGCTGTGTTGTGTATCCTGAGCATTTCTTTGATTCCAGCCTGTGTTAATCGTACTGGTAGCTGTTTCCATTTTCCTATGGCAGAGTTCTGTGGTGAGAAAGTAGTTTCTATAGCATCTTGGTATTTGCCTACAGCAGTTCCTGGTCTGGTCAAGAGTGTCTCTGACCTTTTCTTGGGTCTCTCTGCTGTGACCAAAGGTGGAAACGTTAAGGCAGAGTGTTAGAATAGCGTAGGTATGAACTAACAGTCGCACAACTGCTGTCTCAGGCTCCTTCTCTTTGAGAGTGGGAGCTTCCTGGGGCAATGCTTTCAATGGGAAAAGCAACAGGACAAATGWGAGCAGCACTTGGTGCAGCATGAGCAGCCAGTAAGGGCTTAAAGGGGATGCTATGCAAGTGTGTGGCCACTGGTGAAGGCGCCTGAGCACGTTAGCACAGTTCTGGGTTGACTGAGGAGACACAATTAACAAGAAAACACCCAAGAAAATATTGGGTAGTTGTTATTTTAGGATAAGTAACCTCAGGACCAGATTTCAGACTGATGTTCTCATCAAGCTACAGTTGATTTTTTTTTTTTTTTTTTTTTTAGTTTATCTGTTTTTATCTATCCCATGATATTATGGTGTATTTGTAATGCTGGTGCCCGGAGTTGTTTGAGAGTATTGCATATCCCTCAGCAAGGCCCAAGTTCTTTATTCATGTCTAAGCAGTGTTGGTGCCACATATTGGCTAAGTATTCTGCKGTTACAGCCCTTTAATAGCAGTAGCAAGTACTTTAAAGAACTTCTGAACATCACTATGTTAAGTCCTCTGTAGTGAAGAATTGTGTGTTATAGGGTCTTTTTTTCTTTTCAGATTTCTGTACCTTGAATCTTCTGGCATGTGAGCCCAGGAGAGCAAAGGAAAACATACAAAAGCATCTGACTCATGTTAAGCAGTAAGTTTTGCATTTGACTCTGAGAGAGTCAAATGTCTAAAAAAGTTGAGACACAGGAATTTGAAAGGCTCTCAGTGAAGATGCCTGCTGTGGGTGGCTGGTGTCATTTCTGTGGCCGGGAGGATTGCTTTTGGTCACTGCAAAACCTGAATGGCAGGAAACCTAACGTAGCATTAGTGYGTTCAGAGGCAATTGGCAGCTTCTTTTTGGAGTCATGCGGCCCACTGTAAATAGAAGCTGCTATCTTGCATGCTGGCACTCCACCACTTCCCTCATTTACACTTGCCCAAAGCTGCRAAATCTTTTAGCCTACATGCATCTGCTCGCTCTCCTCTAGCCATCCTTCCACGTACCCTCCTCCATGGTCATGATCATTGCAGCAGTGACTGTAGGAGAAAGCTTTTACCTTGTCCTTTGTTGTCTTCCYACTCATGTTTGCGGACTCTGTTTTTTTCCACAGCCCCATATGCCCAGTTGGGAAGAGCCACATCTATCTACATCTGTAACTGTAAAACTTTCATCTTCCCTTTTGATCAGAATTCATCTCTTGGAAGTGCTGGATCAAATCCATTGATTTGATACAGCTACATTTTAGGGAGTRCTTTTTAAATGCAAAATCTGTATCTTAAACATTTCAAACGACTGCAAGTATCTGAAAGTTTGTTTATTGCAGGCAGTTTTGTAAAAGGATAGTATTCAAACTGGCACTGCAGTGTGAGTTGGAAGGGACCTGAGTTTCTGGAAGCAAAGGTAGATTTTAGCTTTTTGAAAGAAAAGACTTCAAACCCAACAGTGAAATCACAACAAAACAAAAATAAATTACCGTGATGACTTTGTTTGCTGCAATATAAATGAGAAACTGCTCAAATATGCCAGTTCTGTTTTAATTATTTTCATGGAGACATTTTCCTTTCTTCTCTCACTGCTGTTACATTACAGGGTCCTCCTGGGGTTCTGGTGAGAATCTTTTTTTAGTAAATGTTGTAAAACTGAGCCCATCACAACATCCCTTTCCCCGCAGTGGTGCCGTAGGGGGATTTACATGATTTACCTTCTGATTTTCTGTGCCCTCCGCCCTCGACGTGACTTCCCAGCGGGGCCAGAACCACCCGTGGAGGATGACGGCAGAAGGGCCTTTCGGAGGCCGCGCTGTAATTGAGCGCAGCGCAGCCCTGGTGAGAAAATTGCTGCTTTTCGAGCAGGGGTTGTGCGACACGGTGAAGAAGCAGCCATTTCCGTAACAAGGAAATCTGCCGTGCTGATTGCTGCTGCTGAGCGTTCCCTCTGCTCGAAGTGGAGCTGCAGRCTGGTACAGAGACAGAACCGCCCGTGGGCAGGCTTTTGGGGGGCTCTGGCTCTGAAGGATGCTTTTCAGCTGTAAAAAGGGATTTTTATTTTAGAAACTGAGGCTTCAGGCTATCTTGGATGGGTACAGTTTTAGGATTTGYGGGCGTTGTCAAGATGATGGTTTAGGCTGCAATAAAATAATACTTTACGTCTGAAGTGCGTTACGTAGGCCACCTCATTTTAATTTTGGCCAAACCGTAGCATGATTTCCCCCCATCCTCCAAACAGAGATACACATACAGATGTAGTTATTTTTTTGCATAGCTTTTTGGCAATGCTTAAAGAGCTGCAGCTGTGTTTGCGTGTCGTGCTCAAGCATTGCGTGTGGATATGAGTTGGTGGAGGAAGGCAGAAGTTGTTGTGATCTGTGCTTTATAAATCACTTCCACTGAGGAGGCTCTTCTTTCGTATTCTGAATTCCTTTGTGTGCCCTGGTGCTGGTGATCCAGTGTTTTCACAGGCCATTTGGAGATGCCCATCGCTGAAGATGGAGGGAAGAGGCAATGTGGGGACGTGCGAGGCAGAGCCTATAGCTAACAGATGCTGTTTCCCTTAAAGTTTGCTCCCTCAAATACCTTAATCTGCCCTTAGATACCTTAACGTGCCCTTACTGCAGCTCTGATTGTGGCTTTGCTGCACCGTGCAGCAGTGACTGTGGCATGGGGAGGTGGGTTGCACTAGCTGGTGCTTCCTCGTGCTCAGGGCTTGCTGAGGTCCCTTCCCCCACGTCAGCTCCCTGAAGTGGTTTGGGGTTTAGCACAGGTTTCAGTACCCAATTTAAGCTCTTTTATGCTCACTGAGAGGCRAACTGTTAGAAAGTTAAAACCAGTGCAAGAGTTGAGAGTTGGAGGTGCTCACCGTGGTAGTGGGCACAGGGATAAAGCTCCTACAGTAAACACGTAAGTGTTTACTGTTAGGTCCACTTACCTACTGATTTCTCTTTTATGATCAAGTGCATAAGACAGTTAGCAATGGCTAATTTGTCTGGTAGCCTGTGGTGTTATTCTTTGCTTTCTGAACATTGCTYTAGCTCTTGGTATTTGTTAACTCATGATAATGGCATAATTGCCGTATGAAACTAGCTTGTAAAAGAAGGGGCAAAAATCTGCGTATCAGACTTAAATTTCCTCATCTGCACTGTTAAAAAGTGATGGTAAAAACATTATGGGATCATTCTTGAAATTCTTGTCTAGAGATTGCCATTAAGTTGTGTAAATCCTCTTGCAAGCATTTACAATAAAACTAAGAAGAGTATATAACTTGAAAAGTCCTTCTCTTACCTAGCACATTAGGACTGTTTTTACCTTCATTTTTACAGTAGAATTATCCAGTCCTGTTCTTCTTAATGTGTGGCTTTCTTTGATCTGTCAGAATTAAACAGATACTTTTCTAGGACAATGCAAACTTTAAAAAATGTGTAATGCAAAGTCYGAGAGTTCGTAGAGATCTGTTAGGATTAGTAAATGGGAGTTTGGGGTCACTGTGTGAAAAACGTTAAATATGTTTTTGCTACTTAATTATTTCAGCGTGGCATTTAGTAGGCACTATATGTGGTTAATGCAGAAGCTCTTCTAAAAAATCTTGCAAAACTAGTGCACGTGTGTGGTGCTCTAGGACGAATCAGATGTCGGAGTTGGTGCAAGATGCCAGGTGGCAGGTATGTCTGGTTTGTGGAAAAGAAAACTAGCTCCGAGGAATCGATTATCGGAAAATTCACGGTCGGTTCGTTCTGGCATCTGCTCCTGAGGCAGGATTTAGATTTGGAGACCTGAGATTGAGACTTGAGAACCTGGGAGTTGTGGCCACGGAAGCCCTGCTCCTCGGTGGAAGGGGAGCAGTTCGGCAGCGCCTCCCTCATCACTGCCCTGGGGCTTTCCTAGCCGAGCGGCTCCTTGCGGGACCTCGGCGAGGGAAGTGCCTGGGGATGGATTTTGCACCCAGAGCATTTAAACTACCGAGAAAACAGGAATTTTGGAAATTATCTCGCAGTCAAGCCAGAGAGGAAATGAGGGGGKTTGATCTTCTGCTTTTAAACTCCTGTCCTGTCTGTGTTGATTCAAGTGGGGGGAGATGATGTTTTTCCTACCTTTTCTTCTGCTTTCCTTTTCTAATGCCAATACCTTTAGCAGGGGAACTGAAACACAAAATTAAGTGCTCTACTGACTTCCCAGAGTATTTAACGTGCCAGGGAAACAGATGGCACTTTTTTTTTCTTTCCCTTTTTAATAGGCATCTCATTTGATCTTTTACTGGAAGGAGCACCATCTCTGCAGTTTGCTGCTCTTGTAGCACCTTGGATGCAAATGCTGCCCCTCCAGTAAAACACAGACAATCCTTCAATCGGGAAGCTTCCATACTAATATGCCAAAASACATAGTGCAAATGAAGGGAGATTAGAAATGTGGGAAGGGGGATCCTCCCAATCTCCTTTCAGTAGATAAGCAGCAAAAGTTCAGGCCATGTGCCACTTTTCAAAAATGGAACTTATTTGAACACCATTTACTAGGACCTGCTATTTCAAAACCTCAGCAGAACAGATTTCTCTCGCTCGTCCTTGAGCACTGTGCTAGTGCTGAGCTGAACACAAGCCAGGTATTTTGCTACAGAGCTCTAGCTGCAGCCTGCAGAAGCAGAAATATTTTCACTGCGCGGGAGAATAACAAAACCATTATATTTGAGTGAATTGGTTGCATCCTGCAGGTATAAACAGGAAAGTTTTCAGCACAGGAGGATTTTAAAATCTGCTTTTTCTGCTGTTTTGTTTGTTTGTTTGGGCCCTATTATTTGGTAGAAGAAGGTGGAATGTGGAATGTGGAAGATATAAACTTGTATTTTCTTTTGCTGTTTTTTTACTACCAATTCTCCTGCTGCTGAGTGTCTCCCCCGTGTTACATCGCCGTTGGACACTGTTGTGCAGCCCTGATGCCACGTTCTGCGACGTCTCGTGGCCATCTCAACGTTCTGATGGGGCTTTCTCAGCACTGCTCTTCTGGGGGCAGAGCTGCATGTTACACTGTTCGCAGCGCACTAAAGAAATCAGGAATTGCAGATGAGGTCCATTGGAATACAATAACCTGGCTGGAAGGGATTGGGCCTTGTGATTCAAGGCAATAAATGTGTTGATCCTTAGACCRTCAGTGTTAGCAGGTGTCGTGGCTGCATTTGGCTTCCTGAGACCATCTAACAAATGTAGATCCTGCGTACAAGAATATAATTTCTGTTTAGACAGTTGAGATATTGTTGCAGAATATTTCAGAGTTCATCGTTGTGTTCCAAACACAAGCTTCCAAATATCTGTACTCAAGTATGTGATGAGTCTTGAATAGCAGGTTTTGGTGAGGTTATTCTGTTTTTTTRAAAAAAATTCTTATCGCTTTTTTCGTAGATTCGAAAGGAAAGGAATCTGCTGCAATGAAAGCTGACCTACTGAGGGCTCGCAATGTGAAGAGATATATTAATCAACTGACAGTGGCAAAGAAGCAATGTGAGAAGAGAATAAGGCTGCTGGGAGGGCCTGCTTATGATCAGCAGGAAGATGGCACTTCTGATGAGGGTGATGGGCCCCAAAGTCAGAAGGTATGAACTGAATAACACCTACCTTGCCTGAAGGGCTTTCTAAATGTGTTAGTGCTGGATCACRTTAACCTCACTGTCATTAATCCCTCACTTCCCCTGAAAATCAAGTATAGACTAATAGCTACATAGTCTATTTGGCTTATTATTGGGGAAATGATTTCTGTAGTACCTGGAAAATCATACGAATCATTCAAACTGGTAATTTTTTCATGTGCTGCATAGGGAACTTCAAAAAGAATTGGATGTTTCATTGTGTGTGATTTTCAGACTTACTTAATGTAGGGAGTTGTTAAAAATATGTTAAAGAAGGAGCAACTTTTTTTCAAAAAATGTTTCAAAAAAACGATATGCAATTTTTTTTGGCCTATATTATATTTACTGTGGGCAATAACCTGCAAGTTTTAAAAACACCCAAGTTATTTAAAACCCAACACTTACTTGTAGAAGGCAATTGACATTTTTAAGGGTAGTCCTTGCAGAAGCACCCTAGGAAAGCTGATTTTCAACCTCGCTGTACCTTGGGACTGAAAAAAAAATGCTGTTTCATTAGCCAGCAGCTACAAAATTAAAAAATCATACCAAGTTATCTTTAGTAAACTTTAATAAGTTTAATAACTTCCTTATGTAATCAACTCTATATTGCCTATGGGCAAAGCACACTAATTGATGTTTTCCAATTAGAAAGGTGGCATTATCTTTTTCATGTAGGTAGACGAAAAAAATTATCCCTTCATGTAGGGATCTTTAAATTTTATTACGTTATTATAATAATTGTAACTTAGTGCCACATAAGGAAAAAAAAGTCACGACAGAGAATTAGTTCTCACTGTTTGCATTTTTCCTCCAAGTATGCAAGGCAACAGAATAATTCCCCGTGCCCACTGGGTGCTTAAAGCAGGGCTGCAGAAACGGAGAAGCTCCTGGTCTGTTTGCAGAGGTCGAGTGGAGCAACCAGTAATGGAGGGGAAAAGGACTGGAAAGGATAAAGAGAAGCATGTGGCAGAACCGCCTGGGCTGCTGGTGCCACCGAGCAGACACCTTTTGGTGCCTGCTGAGACGTTATGTGCTTTGCAGGATGGATTTATAGAGGCATAAGGCTGTTCAGGAGCAGCGTCAGCWAGTGAAGTGGTACCAGTTGGGGTAGGGAATGAGGATTGGTGAGAAATTYAGTACAATCTTATACAAAATCAAAGAAATTCCTGTTGTTAGTGAAACAGGCTGTACACCTCTCCAGATTACTGATGGAAGCTGCTGACTGTGGATTATATCCCGCAAATAATAACCCTTGGGCATCTCYATGCAAAATAAATGGCGCTGTGTGTAGGCAGAAAGACCTCCTTGCACAGGCATTTGCAGTGTTGGTGGTGAGAACAGTGGGATCCTGAGCTGCTCTGCTAGTAGGCTGTGGATGAACTGCTATGAAGAAACCCTAGAATTTACCTCAGTGGCCACATTGGAGTCAAAAATAGGGAAATTGCTTCTGTTGTTCTCAACTCCCTGTGACCAACATTGGCTTCTATATAAAAAATGGAGGTTTAATTTCACTAAAATGCACAGAATACATAAGGAACAGGCATTTGCTGATTGTATTTTGAATGATTATATAAATGAAGTGTAGTACAGAGCCTGGAATACATTGAGTTGGGTTTTTTTTTTTTTTTTTTGTTCTAATCAAGTGGAGAACAAATTGACTAATGGCCTCAGCTTGTGCTTTTGTTTTATTTCTGCATCCTACAAAAAGCTCTCTCTTTCCTGTGCTGGTGGGGGAATAACAGCATTGCTGCTAAATGTCCTTGCTTTGCATGTTCTGATTATAGTTTTAAATGTGGAGATGAATTACTAGGAGTTGTCCAAGTTGTTCTGCTATAGATTTAAGAAAATAAAGGATGTTATTCAAAATAATTGTTATTTCTTTCCCTGCAGAAGCTAACAATAAAACAGTGACAATAAAACAATAAAACTGTTTATTCCCTGTTCAATACATAAAAGTCACAGGGTTGCATAGGCTTTGCATGTTTCACTTAACTTCACTATCCTGATTCTAATTGCTCCAGGGAAATCTTGAACTTAAGATGTGTGAATTATAATCCAATATCTAAAAACAGGCACAAAAAATGTACCTACTGTCTGAAACTGAATTTTTTTATTAGCTCTGATACTGATTGATACTCTTTTCTGGGTGTTAGAGTTGCTTCCAGAGAAAATGCAATTTGAATCAGTATAATATATGAAACATGTCTTCTAATCTATTTATGGTCAATGCATTTTTAATGCTTTCCCCTAGAAATTGTACTAGTGCAGTACTGCAGTAACGTAATTGAGTTCTTGTTGTCTGTGTTTATCAAGGAACTCATTTGTTTGATCTGTTGGGCGCTGTCCAACAGCCACGTCCCCACATCTGTGAGCTTCAACGTGCAGCRTCACGGCATTGCTGTGGTGGAGGTGTTCAGAGAATTGCTGGTGTTAAATGGAGCTCTTGAGATCTGATCCCTGACTAGCTGTGAAATAGCAAGGAAAATTCCACCCAGAAACCATCTCAATTTGTTCTGAGGCAGAGAACACTCTGTGTTCGTGAACCTGTTGAGGAGTATCAAGCTGAAACTATGGCAGAGGACCTTGCTTTCACTACAGTTCTCAGAGAGATGCTGGTTTAACTGCTTACTGATGAGATTTTTGGTCTGATTTCTGAGCTTCAGGTTGTTGTGGTGGCTTATATCAGGCTAATTCATGGTCGAATATCTGGAAGTATAAAGAGAGAGAACTTAAATCCGTGTTCCCCTCTTGCCTGGAGATGGGGCATCTTATGACAGAAGTATATTCATGAGCATGTGAGTCCAGAAGCAGGAATTCTGCCATTACTGGGGTGGAGGAAATAGCAGAGTGCTTCACATAMTAAATACTTGGTGTRTTTTAATGGTTAAGGAATCATTGCATTTTGTTTAGCTGCTGCACAGCTTCTCATGGTTTACCTCWTTCATTTTTTTWAATAATACTTTACAATTCAATTTTAGTAAGTGTATAGGCAGAAAGTCTTAATTGGTGGTTTTTAACATGCAGCTCAAAAAGAAAAATATTTTTCCAGTATTATCATCCGCTTTTTCCAGGCTCTGTGCCATCTTCCAAGCAGAAAACTTCCGTTTCTCACCCAAATTCAGCTCACCCTGCCCATGGTCTGCAGTGCAGTTATCAGCTCTGCTTTTGTTGTTGCTTATGGGCCAAATGTAGTTGTGAGAAGTGGGACCCTGCTCTGTTGCACGGGATGCTAGCACACTGTGTTTGCACTGCATGCAGTCCCTAAATGTGCCTTTTACASCAGGTATCTCTGCTTTGCAGGGCTAGGAGCAACCCTGTGCTGGGTCGGCCAGCTCYGGCACCCTACTGAGAAAGATTTCGACGCCTTCCTGGGGTTTTGCAGAATCTTTTAGTCACTGGGGATAATACTTTACTGTTGGGCTAGGGGATGGATGTCACAGCAGTAAAGCTGCTCTTGAGTCCCTKAGGCTGCTCTGGAGTTGCAAGGGCTTGAAGGGGTGCTGCTGAGGCCGGTAGCTCCAGGACTATGGTTGTTTGCTGGTTATTAGGTGGGAGGAGATGCGCGTGCCCTGATGTGTGTATGGGCCAGCACAGCCTCAGGCCATGTGCTCTGAGCAGTGATGATACTGAGTCACAAAATGAACTTTCCAGTGGGGATTGGAGTGCTACAGATGTCAGTTCTTCACCCCAGAAAACACAAGACCCTCCACGTCACCCAGCCCTCTTGCCAAAGCTGATCAACTCAGACCTAAAGGACTCTCCTGCCCTTTACCCTTAATGTGAACGTATTAATAATACACTTTCTCCCACACAAAACTCTTCTCCAGCTCTTGCAACCAGGATGAATATTTGCCCTTTCTGTTCCTAATTCTTTCACTTCKTATAATGTAATGAGACCTTGTAAAGAGCAATAACTGCAGAGCATTCTGTCTCCTTGCCTTCTGTTAAATTCTTTATGAGAGAATATGTTTGCTTGCAGAGATGCATTTCTTAAAATTTCTTAACGTTTCAGGTGTCATTGGCTGTACTTTTCCAKAATTTTCTATGGTCATAGAAATTATTAGGCCAGCAGTGGAATAGGATACAAGAGATAACCCTGCTCCATGGATAGGGCTTGCTGCTGTGCATTGTGTTCTGAGGTGCTGCCCTGACCACCCCCATGGCTTGAGACAGGTGCCAACACCATCTTTATCTTGAGTCCCCATCTGTTTTTAAATGAAAYGTCAGGCAATCTTACACATTTATAATCTGTGGATAAGAAACTTCAGGCCCTGATAAAGTTAAATGCTTAGAAGTTAAAAATAATGGCTAAATATCTGTATAAAGGAGGGTAGAACATAACAGTTGAAAAAAGTGAAGATTGCTTGATTCCTTTTTTGTGTTTCGTCTGTAAAACAGAATTTAAAAAAAAAAAAAGAGAGAAATGCTGAATAGCTTTTACACGGAATATTGTAATGCACTGTGAGGCTCCAAGAGGTCTGGGGGGCTGCCAGAACTTTTCTTGGATTCTTGCATTTGAGTTTTCATTGGTACATGTCTTGCCCCAGGCAGCGAAATGTTACTTAAGTTCCTTTAAAGGAACGTTTGTCAGTAACAAAACGGGTAGAATGAGGCTGCCCTGGAGCCCTGGTCAGCATGTGTTCCTCTCGCTGATCTTTTGAATGCAATGCTAGTAATGAAATTTTAGCAGCTGGCTGGAAGTAACAGGCTGGCTCCTTCTTACTCACTTCTACTTAGTGCTAGCTCCTTTGTGATGATCATGAGTGAAATGCTGAGGTTGTGGGTCTGAATGGTTTCCTGTGACCTTTTACCATGCCTCATATGTAGAGGGTATTATTGAGTAAGATTCTGTTTGAGCACACCTGATAAGACATATGTTTAAACACTGTTAATTAATTTTGTTAAAATCGTTATTTTGCAAGGTTGCAGAGCTGACAGTCCTCAGGAGGGTGAAGATCTCTGCCTGAGAGGCTGGACGACCCTCTCCCCCTTGTGTTTTAAATCATTGTCATTTGTGATGAAGTGATTGATTAGCCAGTATGACTGTGCTCTGTAGCTAACCCACCTTGCTCCTCTTTGACAGCCTGAGCACCCTAGTTGCAGCAAGCCTCTCTCAGTGCAATTGCCTTGTCTGGTGAGGTTTTACAAGGTGARCTCCAAAAGATGGAAGATGAAAATGGCCAGCTAAGACAAACATAGTTTCCTTAAAACCTGCCCAAAATCTGAGGGAGCTGATTCCAACAARATGTAGTCACTACATTCTCAAAGAACCCTTTTAATCTTGGTTTATTAATGAAATGAARCTTGTTTCAGTGGTTGTGTACAAGCATGTACAAGCATGTGTACAAGCATGGTGTCAAACCACCATGTTTTTCTAGATGTGACTTAGTGGTAGGCTCTCACCAGTATTATATTAATGAAAATTGGTGGTCTTCCCACAGAGAGAGTGTCTGATACCTGACTTGAATTATTATTATTATTATTATTATTATTATTATTATTATTATTATTATTATTATTACTGAGTATTGCAAAGCTCTTTATTAGAAGGCTTCTTAATGCCTCAGACACAGGTGGAATTCTTGTCATGGTCAGTACCGAAATATTTGGCTGTAAAACCCAGAGCCATAGGAAGCTACGAGTTCTTAGCCTCCTGCTCAAGGAGCTGCTTTCCTCTGCAAAGGAGGAGATGTGGGTTGGCGAGATATGATTCAGGAGACTGTGGCCACTCTGGTTCGTTACGATTCTTGATGATGAAGGTGGTGGAACCAAATGATGTGAAACCTGGCTCAGCTGAAACTTGGAGTGGAAGGGGGTGTTTGGTTTTGGAAGGATTTTTGAAATTTGGTCCTACTTTTCTTCCTTAAARTGAAAGCCAAGATTCTTCACTTTACTCAACATCTACATCTGTACATCTCTTCATTTTTCAGGTGCTTGTAGCTGAAGCTTGGATTCACAAAAATGCCAGAGGAGGAGGAAGTGATAATGGGTTTTTAACCCAAGAGCTTAATGGCTACAGCATCTGCTTGGGTGTGGGAAGCCTGGCTTTCATTTCCTTTGCTGCTTGATTTAAAGCTCCATCTCCCTCAGCTCAGGAAGAGCCCCCAAGCACTGTGTCATAGCCCGTAGTCTTTCCTGGCTGTGTTTCTGATGGATGTTGTGCAATTTCTGCAAGCAGACGCTCGTTTGAATGGGAGCTTGCAGCCGAAAGCCCTCGCTGCCCGAGGATGGACCACACTCCGTTGTTCCTCTGTGCCCTTGGTAATAGCCAGGATTTATCTGTGAAAGCTTTGTAGCCCATGGTGCCGAGAACACTGGTGCTGCTGCCTGTTTGGATCAAGCAGAGAATAGATCAGTCAGCTTGCAACTTGGCTCCTCTGCCTCGTGTGAACATTGACAGTTGAGTTTTTGGCAATTGCTTTTCATAGAGGCTTGGAAATGCCATCCTGGTGTTCTGCGGTGTGGTCGCCCTTTCTGGAGGGAAAGCACATGGAAACTTCCTGTCTGGTAGGAGCTTAGGTGCATCTAACTTGCAAATTCGCATAACTCATATTGTGGGGGAAAAGAGTTGTTTTGAGACAGAGTTTATGTAACGTTAAGGGGTGCGTGCAGCTGGGTGTGCCAGGCATGCCTGTGGGATGCGTGGTGCTCCGGAGATGCGTCCGGAGACAAGGAGTTGTGTAAATGGCTGAGAGGTGCTGGAAAGGCTATGGCAGGAGTTGTGTAAAGGGCTGAGATGCTGGAAAGGCTGCGGCAGAGAGGCAGCCCATGGCTTAGGCTTGGGGGCAGAGGGACTGGAACAGCTCCAAGGGCAGCAGCCAAGGGAAGCAGTAGGAATGCTGTGTTCCCCTCCGGATACAAAAAGCATCAAGGAATAAAGCTGCCCCTTAAGGCTGTCCTCCTGAGCCTGTGCATAGGAGTAAAACTTCTCCCCCTACCCTTGATCAGGTGCTGAGTCTCAGTGCAGCTGGATGCTGTGCTGAAATCCTAAGTGAACTTCCAAGCTGAGATTGTCTTATTTTTTATTCTGGAAGCAAAATATTTTTAGTTTACATCCTGATTGATATAYGATATTGTTTTCATTCAGTGTGGCCAATTAACTAGATGAAAGCTGGAATCCTGATAAAGTAGTAAAAGTAATTGCATGTGGGAGGTTGTCGTTGGGTGGGGAGTTTATGGGGTGATTTAGAAAAAAAAAAAAAGATKAAACAATTTCCTGGTAGCAGCATGTATAGATAGAATGTAAATGGAGAACATTAAGTTATGGTAGCAGCGTGTATAGACAGCATGTAAATGGAGAACATTAAGTTATGGTGGAAATCATTTGGAGTAATTACAGAAATTGTTTGAATCTGGTGGTAATAAGCTTATTTGAGTGGCATGAATTCTTAATGCAGCCATAAACAGACCCTGGGCATCGTGGAACAAAGAATGTGGTTGAATCTGAAAGAGATTCCTGTTGTGGGGGACCTGTGGCAAAAGCTGAGCAGTCTAGCTGGTGCTTAGCCAGGAAATCTCATGTGTTATTTGGGTTGGATTCTGCATATTTTAATGTGACTTCTCAGAGTACTGCTGATGAAAACAAATGTTTTACAGATAATGTGAGAAACTGGAATCTGTGATCAATGCATCAACCCCTTTAGAAGTTGCAAAACTTGCAAGAAAAAAAAACTGAGGCTTGTCATGTCCCTGGAAAGGTTTCTGCCCTGAATAGCAAATTTAGAAAAGACAAATAAACTTAAAATGAACCATTGAGTATCAAAAGTTTGAGAAGTGATATTTGTTAATAATAGAACTATTCTTTATAGAAGAGCTTGAGAAATGAGCATTTTGGAGTTGTTCTGGACGCCGTGAGGAGGAAAGGCTAATTGGGGAATGTCGTGTTGACTCCAGGGAAGCCAAATTTTCACGTTTCAGGCCTCCCATGGGTTCAGGGTTGGAYGTTGCTTTTGGATAGGCAAGCAGGAAATGTGACTCCCTTGTTTTTCTCCAAATATGTAAAATTGACCTTGTGAATTTGAGTAGTAAAGAAAAAGTGCAGCTTTTTGTGAGCCTGAGATAAGCAAAGTATGCTTTGGCTGCCTTTTTCTGTGCGTGTATTTCCTTTCTCTCCGTTTCTTTCTCTCCGTTTTTTTCTGTCYGTTTCTTTCTCTCTTTGAGCATAGAGTACTTTCTTGGGAAAAACACAAGAGGACATAAGCAAAATATTTTCCACTGCAGMACTAAATTTTGGCCACAAACGTGAGTAGCTAGAGGGGAGAATGGAAGTTCTTGGTAAGATCACTTGACAAACTTAATTCAATTACTGTGGGTGACCTCAGTCTGCACCAATGATGAATAGCTGCTCTTCAGTCCCATATAGATATTTTTTCACATTTTACTCTTGTTTTTTCTTCCTCTAGATTCTTCAGTTTGAGGAAATTTTGGCCAACCCTTCATACCGAGAGCACTTCCGAATCTACATGGATAGGATGGACAAGAGAACTTTGATCAGTCTTTGGGAATCTGTGGAGTATCTGAAGAATGCCAACAAGGTGGAATAAACTGCACGTCCATGTGCTTRTTCATTAAATGGACTCTCTGCTTGCTCTAATTTTGGTATTAGGAAACGTGTCTGTATTTATGGTTTCAAAATACTAATAGCGTAGAGAGGATATTAAGCACTTAAGTATTTTCAGGTTTTTACATCATTGCTTGGGGTTAATATGGCAATTTAAAAAAAAAGTGGTCTTTTTAACAGCATAATAGAGCGAGGATAGATTATTGGTTTATAGCAACATAACCTGTAAAAAGGATATTTAATAGGCAAAATTAGTGAAACTTTTTTTCCCCTCTGTTGAAGAAAAAAAAATGCAGTAATATTTTGGCCTTGTTTGGATCAGTTTATGTGAAACTTGCAAGTACCTTACCATTTGGTAGTCCGTTCATAACCTTCTCCTCTTGCTAATCACAAGTAACCATTCAATCCAAACCCATGAAAATTAGAAATATTTGCCTAGGTCTGCTTTCAAAGTCCCCTCAAAAGACAGATTTTGCTTTWAAAGGCCCCTTCACCTCGCACTCTGTTGCGATATAAGCCACTAAATGTTAGCAGTAGTGCTGCCCTGCTGCTAGAGGGCAGAAACAGCACGTTGTAATGTGTGCTAAATGGGAATGACAGCCCTGAAAAGGTAGGGAACATCATTTAGAATTGCAGCAAACATCCTCAGAGCTAGTATGTTAAGGGCMTGTTTGCTGCTTGTGAGTACTGGGATGACTTTTTCTGCGAAACTATTTTAAAATTACAGGATTCACATTAGCATGAAATATGAGTCACTAGCAGTTATTTTTTTCTTAAATCACTGTCATTTTATTACTCTCCTATTTAAAAAGATCCTTTTCCAATTGGGAAACACAAATAACATCCTGTAACCTGAATGGCAAATCATGAGTAGTGAACCGTTGATGTGATCCATAAGAATGACTAAAAACCAACTCAGGCTAAAAAAAAATGCTCATAAAAGGCTTTTGACAGGCACCATGAAGAGAGATGTATAAATCAGGTTTCATTTGCCAACTCCATGCTTGGATAAAGGTGCTATGAGGCATTTTATGGCCTCTCAGCCATAAAGTGATTTCTCACCTCGTTTTTAATGCAGTATATATGGGGCATTTGTGCAGGGCTTGCTGGTCCCTCAGACTGTGCTTAGATTTCCCCGTGGAACTTAACGGTTGTGGGTCACTACAGGGGCAGCTTTCCTTCAAATAAGCAGTATCATGCAGCTGCGTGGCCGTGACTTTGTCACATCAGGCAGGCAGGCGAGTTGAGCCTGACCGAGAGAGTGGCTGAAACCACCAGTTTTGCTCAAGAAGTTAGCACGTAGTTTAGAAACATCGTGGGCTGTGCTGTGTTACTTGCTCTTTATTTGCTCTTTATTAATGCAACGTTTGGCCTTGGGCACTCTTCTGTGCTCAGTGGGAATAAGGGACCTCAGGTGCTGGTAGATGTCTCTTCTCATTGTGCTTTTGGCCTCAGAAATTAATTGGAGTCTCAACATAAAGTCAAGAGTTGGCCCCATCCAGGTCTCCAGCAGAAGACAGAGACACGGACACAGCTGAACTCTGAAATATGAACTTAAAACTCAGTGCCCAGAGTGCTGCCCTAGCACTCATTGGTTTTCCGTGGCATTTGGAGCTTATTTTTAAAAGCAATGTGCTGGAAGCTGTGATGACTTTAGAACACAGCTGTGCCACCACTTAGCAAATGGCAAGGTTTRCCTTGTGAAATCAGCTGCTTTGCATAGGTGCACAGGTAGAGTGCTTGATGCAAGGMATCCACACATGTGTCCCTCTGTGTCTGGTCATTACATTAGCTTCATCAGCCTTCTTTATACACCTGCCTTCTGACCCATCCCCATGGTTTTTAAAGTATCTTTATTCKTCTTTTTCCCTGCACTCTCCCTCCTTGCTTCCTAGGCTGAAATACCTCAACTCGTGAGTGAAATTTATCAGAATTTCTTTGTGGAAAGCCGAGAAATACCTGTGGAAAAATCCCTTTATAAAGAAATCCAGCAAAGTCTCGTGGGCAATAAAGGCATTGAAGTATTCTACAGAATTCAGGCAGATGTTTACGAAACTCTAAAGGACAGATACTACCCCTCGTTCATTGTCAGTGATTTGTATGAGAGACTCATCAAGCAGGAAGAAGAAAGAAGTTCTGCTCGACTAACATCTGAGGACAAAGATGAAGCGGTGAGTCACAYGTGTAATTTCCTTCAATGTTATTTAAAGTGACTTGAAAATATCGAAATAAAGTATGCAGAAGCACTTTTGGTGTTGAGCTTCTCTCTCCTCTTGCTCCCTTTTCTGCCCTCTCTCTTTCGCTTTCTCCTATATATGTTGGTTGATATATCATCACTTCTGCAGTTTCATCACAGTTCTCAATAAGGAGCTTTCTCAGTTTGTCTGGGGAACTCTGATGCTGTGTCTTTCTGTAGATTGTGTTTGCTAATGAAGAGAGGTGTTTTTCCAGTTCTGCTAGCCTCAAAGCCAGACGATAAAACTACCCTGTGTCATCTCATAGTAGCTGTCCCTGTGTCCTTTGCGTTTTCCAGGTTCTGAAGAGTTTTAAAAAATGTACAAAAGAAGAGAAAAGGTAACTTTTCTTTCTTAGCTTGTGTCTGAAATGAAAAAAAAAAAAGAAAATCTTAGTGCTTTGTATTAATTTATTGAATAAATTCAGTTTATTCAATAGGCTGTTAATTTATTGAATAAAACCGATTTATTYAATAAATTAATAGGCTGCACTGGCAGACAGAGCCGATTAAACTAGGGCCAGCAAAGCCTTCAGGCCGCCGGGGCGGTAGGTGAGCGGCCGCCTCTCGGGTGGCGCTCGGGCYGTTCACGTGGGCTCCCTGCGTGCACCCGTCGTGCCAGAGGAGCTGGCATTCCGTTTATCCAGGAAAGCTTTGGCAGGAGCATSCCCCAGACTGGTGAGCACCTCTTGGTGGGGCTGCTGGCCCCGATCAGTGTTTCCATCTTCATTTCACGCGCAGACTTCCTCAAGCCGCAGCGAAGCGTTCGTGGAAAGCTCCCAAACCAGCTCACGTTGGAGGTGGTAGCAGAGCTACCCTTTCCTTCCTGATGTTCTTTTCCCTTTTCCTTTCCCTTCCCTTTCCCCAGAGCTTTCCCTTCCTGATGTTTGTAGTCACCAGGGCTTGCAGGAAAYACTCTTTTTGCCCAGAACTAAGTACTTAAACACTGGGCTTTTGAATCATGTSTTCTGTACAGAGACTGACAGAGATAGCCCTGTCTCTAAGAAGACTGACCCAGCGCTTTAGGACTAGCTGTTTTTGTCAAATCACATCTATTTCAGTATTTCCTACAGCTGCTGAAAACAAGCCAGAGTTTTTACAGCTGCATCGTCATTCCTGCTTTTAAATCCTTGGGTAAATATGTACCAGATTTGAAAGCAGCTTCTGCTGTGAAACTGTAGAAGTGATATATTGCCAAACATGCTTATATGGGGACGGTTCTTTACATTTCTTTTAACCCATAAATTAATCATCAAGTTAAATACACCACTGGAGCATACATAATAATCTCTCTGATAGGGTAATCCTTATGGCTCTGTGGTCACCTTGAAGGGCTCTGAGCTGAAAGCTCCTTTGAGAAGTCGTCTGTAAACGGTCTCGAACAAAAATGAAAATATAGAAGAAAACAGTGTCTGCTTTCAGCACTTTGGAGGAAATGAGCCTGGTGTTTGCTTTGGTGCTACATGTATCCGATCGCTGAAGTAGGTCCAAAGTCTGTGTCACAGAGCACTAATGGAAGTTATTATTAGGATTGTGCTCCTTCTACCAGACCACAGTGCATTTCAACCTCAACTTTGAGTGTTCTGGTAGTTTATTTTCTCATTTAAATAAATGATAATTTATTATGCCAGGATTTTACCCTTTGAGGATATAGCCTGTGGTTCAGCAGCATTTTGTGCTAAAAGTGTCTGAAATGGTAGCATGGTGCAGGAATTGTCGCCCACTCCAGGAGCAACAAATGCCCCTGCATTGTGGTTACATTTTTATTTTATGGTTGTGTTCAAGGGGATCTGAACAGCATCTGGAGCTGTTGATATTTCAAATCTGTATTGCTGTTCTGTCAAGAGAGSCAGGGTGTGTGAGCTCAGCCCTGTGCACGTGCTTGGGGGAGGCCTCTCACTTAGCGGGTTTGCAGCCCGTGCTGCTTAGGCAGGAGGAAGCACAGGGTGTCAAACTGATGTTATTTACTTGGCCACACAACAGGCAAATGCGGAGCTGGGAAAGGGCATTTCTTAGTCCAGGATCCTGCTTTCTCCATTACATTCACCACCTCCTTTGGGAGGATCAGGCTGAGGTGGTGGTTATTGGTACTGTGTCCCTTATCAGACTTTTTTTTTTTTGCTAAAATGTCAAATATTGCAGCATTTACAGTGGTGTTGCCTACAATCTCCTTTAGAACTTGTAGAATTTGAGACAGATTTCCTTCTGCTGGCGTTTTGATCCTCTACGGAGATGCACGTTATCTGGCAGAAATGTCATTAAATAACACAAAATGCTGCCCAACATTCATGAGCTTAGACTTGTAGAGTTTACCATGGATGAACTGAGATAAACTCAACCACGAGSCCCAGAGATCGCTTTGAACGTGGCACCACTGGAGACTGTAACTCTGTGATCTGCATCTGCTGGGTCTCCAGGTCTCTGCTCCCATTGGGGGAGGTTCAGTAAGAAAGGGCAGGTTAAGGCAAATGCCCAAAGAACCTACAGAAAAGGTCACCTAAAAAGGCAAAACTCTGTATTTCTTCTCATGCCTGTAGTACAGAAGATGCAATTTGGTTGAATGGGGAGCAGAAAGTGATTGATGAATTCAGGGTAACACGTGTGGTTTTAACACATTTTTTRTTAACACTTCTAAAAAGAGCAGTAAAATCTGTTTATGAAGAGGAAGGGTTTGGTTTAGATTGATCTGAAGGCTGATGCATCTGTTTTGTGAGGACTTGTGGCAGGCAGGACTGTTTGTTAAAACTGCCGTTCTGTTTTTTCCTCTTCTCCTGTCGTCTCCCAGCTCAGAGCTGCAGGATTTGCTTTGTGTCTGGTTCTGAGTATTGATCACAACTGCTTAGCTACAGTGTACTAATAAAATAAACTTGGATTATTGCTTTCATTTTTTATCAAAGTCTTAACTTGAAGATTAGTTTGCAGAACTGGCAAGAGTACCGTAACTGAGAAAGGAGTTATCAGCTTTTTAAAGTCAGTGTTGGACCTGATGGTTGGGAAATCCATTAGAATCTGTTATAATAATGAGCCTTTATGTTCTCGCACATAAAATACGTATAGAGCAAACAAACAAAAAATAGGTGTTTTTTGCATTAATCAWAGAGTCATGATACAGTGATTCTCCCATCCTCTCTCCCCAGAGCCAGGGTTGTGAGGACACTCCCGAGGAGTGCGGCACCAGGATTAACGAGCAGGCCAGTTACGCCGTGAATAAACTTCGCCAGCTGAATGACAAGCTGGAGTATAAGAAGCAGGCACTCAATTCCATATGTAATTCACCAAAACCCGACAAAAAGGTAGGACTTTTGTCTTCGGTCTGCACTTACTTATTTTTACTGTGTTTGTGTCATGTCCAGTCATTTCASGCCCTTTCTAGACAGGTCAACCTGTGCATCAATCAGGCATGTATTTAAAGAGAAATCAGATTCCTGGGCTGTTCTTTCCTTTCTGAAATGCCTTTTCTGCAAAACTCCTACAAAACACATAGTTAAATCCATAACTGGCTCCTAGCACCGTATAAGCCCTGCCAGTCGTGTGAGGGAAACTTGTTTCCAAACCACGTTGTGCAGTGTGTGATTATTGAAATTAAATGTGACTAGGTTCAATTAAAATGCTTCCATCTCTCCTAGAAATTATGCAGAAGATGGAGGGATTTTCTATTAACTTGTTGAGATCTTCATTATTTCCAGTGAATCTGTGGCAGCAGTGAACATAACGTTTAATTTAGAAAAAATAGAGCTAGCCTTGARCTTAAAAATTGGCACTACAGACAAAAAGTTGCAAGTACTGAGCAGCAGTGTGCGTGCCTGTGTAGCTGAGAGTTGGTCTCTGCTGTTTGTTTCTGCAGCTTTACAGCTTTATTTTTTTTCTCTGATAGTAGTATCTTTGATGCTTACTGAACACTTATTCATGCTTGTTAGCATGAATGTTAGCAGTTATATTCCCATGGATGCAGCACTTCCACATTCCCTTGAGTTCTGCAGAAAGAGCAAGTTTTTATACTGTGTTTATATCTCTACATTCCCTACCTAATTCTTTTTGGGGAAAAAGTCATGTCCCTTCTAGAGTAGTGTCATGCCCAACATTTTTTTGCTTCAATATTTTTTTTTCTTCAAAATGACTACATCTTGGAAGCTGAACAGTAAAATGCAACCGCCAGTGCTATGAAGTGTTGGTATTTGTTTTATAAACATAACAACTAGTCACTTTTGATGAAACTTTGAGAGTTATTTTGTGTTTATTCATTTTGCCCTGTTCTTGTAGGCCAGTTATAGCAATCAGAGCAAGCTGACTGCAAAGCAATCCATATRTTAAGCAGTAATTAAAAAAAAATCAATTCTAAGGTTAGACATGTGCTAGACCTTAGGAAGGTTAAGTATGTGTGTCTAATACTTAATCTTATCTGAAATACCTTTTTGCCATGAAGAAAAATAGTAGCATGTCTTTCTAATTTGTTTTTTATGTTAGCAYTGCAGGTTGACAATTTTATTATATACTCTAGAGGTCTATGAAAGATAGTGTAAATTCTCATTCCAGTAGAGTTCTCTTTTTCCAGTTCTCTTTTTCTCACTCTTCTTTTGTACCTTCTCCTATTTCTGCATATTTTCCCCAAAGACACCGGTAAACACKTTGCAAGATTTTTCTAAGCAATTGTAACTGATAAATTTTCCTCTKCAGATTGTTTCCAAGTTGAAGGATGAAATTACTTTGATGGAGAGAGAGCACAGCGACCTCCAGTTGCACATTGCCAGAACGGACTGGTGGTGTGAGAACCTGGGCATGTGGAAAGCCTGCATAGTGTCGGGAGAGGTAGGGATTTTCCCAGGGCTTTTGTCTTTTACGGAAGCTCACACTTCCAGTATGAAAACTGAAAATCCATATGTACTTATGATATACCTCTGTGGATGCTCTGCCTACTTCTGTGTTTACCTGAGGAAAAAAAACAACCTCTTGCAAATCCTTCTTCTTACACCAGTCTCTGCTGTAACACATAGACAAAAGTTCTTGTTCTCAGACTCCCTATTACAGAGTTGCAAAAAATACCAATATATGCCTGAACACATTTTGGCATTAGATGTAATAATGTGCTCTCTGAGCGAGGTGCTTTTCCTCAGCGAGCACACTCAGCAGTGCCTTGATGCATCCCTGTGCTGTGGAACTTGGGCACAGTTGTCTCTGCTCTGCCTGGAAGGTGCTGTGTTTGTGCCTGCTGCCCTTTGTATTATGACATTCAGTGTCACTATAGTTCAAGGCATTGGAATATCCAGACCTCGAGGAGGGTGCTTTAAATTTGTGAATAAGTCTCCAGATAAGTTGAATTTGTTCTCTTTTGTTTTCTTCTTTTTTTTTTTTTGTTTTTGATTTTTTGTTGTTGGTGGTGGTGGTGGTTTTGGTATTGGTTTATGCACAGGGAGACAGTTGTAAAATGAATTTGCTGTGGAAACTCAAGCTGTGCATTTGCTTGTTAACCAAAAAATAAAATCATGCTATTTGTTGAGAGRATTATAAGAATTCCTCATAAAGGCAACATGATGTAGTACCCCTAAAAACTGACAACTGAGAGGTTTATATGTAAAGACTGAAGTCTTCCATGCCAGACTTGAGTTCTTAAATTTGAAAAGGATTTGCAAGTTCTCATGTTTGGATTATTCTTCTATACATAGCATTATTTCCTTTTTTTTATACTCTAAATGTTATGAATGCCCATCTGCATGCTAAAGGTACRTGTCAGTGATAATAAATATCCATTCCAAGTTATAATGTAAAAAAAGGTTAGAAAAGCCGAGTGGAGACAACTGCCCACAGGAGCCGGCGGATGCTCRTGCTGAGCAGCCGCTGCCGGCTCGCGCTGGACCTCGTCTTGAGGACAAGGCCAGCAGTGTCTAATGGATTGTCTTCCTGTGCCGCTAAGTTGCGGATAGGTGTCCAAACTCGGGTTAAAGAGGGTAGTGGCTTTCCCAGAAATTCCCAGCCCTTCCGTGCCAGGTGCCTTGACCTACATTTTGGAGGCTTCTGTTGAGCGCCTCCTTTGCAGCAGTCTTGGCAGCGAGGGGAGCAGGGCACTTCCCCAAATAGCTGGCCCTGAAACCAGGCATATTTTCAGAAGCTCCGGCTGCTGCTTTGTATTCCAGAAGCCACCGCAGCTCCAGGAGGAAGTGTTTTGCAAGGAATAGTCTCCTTGTGCAGCTGGGCAACCGGGGAATGTGAAGACATTTTAATTGTACGTCTTCTACCATGATGCTGTAGCAGCTCTTCAAATTACCTGTCACTAGCTTGAAGTGCTCTCAGACTTTTATAAACTTCTCATAAGATGTGTCATCATTATGAATTTTAAACTTTCTTCTTTCCTTAATTAAATGTGGCAAATCTCCTTTAAAATTGTCTGAAAAGCTTAAAAATCATTTTCCTTGGAATGATAGAGTGAGAGACACATAGCGCAATTATCTTTGTGTTATTTTTATGTATATTAAGATTGGCATTTGAATTTTGCTTTGGCTCTCAGTTTTAGTCCTCCATAGATGTATTCAATGGCACCTCCACTAAAAGACTGGAAATATGCCTTTTAAAATGGCACCTCTCCTAACAGAGAACTAATGCTTAAAATCTGGACCCTGTTCTGAAAGATTATTTTAATCTTTCTTAAAGATTAAAATTCTTTCATAAAAATTAATAAGAAAATTGAAGTGTTTTATGTGTTTATGAACTCTTTCATAATCTTTTTTAGCAGTCTCCTTAAGATAAAYAAACAAAAACCTGTTGCCATTAAGACACAAATATGAAATTGTTGGTACCTTATGAAATGAGGAAATACAGTGGTCTCCCTGCTGGTTTCTGTTGTCCYAAGAAAATCATCTGATTTCCCCTTGCCGTAATTCTCCCATTTCAAAATGCAGTCAATCGCTGGCCCTTCCCAGGGCTGTTGTGCCTTAATTCATGGGTATCCTTGAAGATTGGGAGTTCCCTGGAAATAGCGGGGTTTGGGTGTGTGCAGAACAGGCTCCAACACCAAGGACAGAGAAGCAGCTCTTGGGCAGCCCCAGCTCCTGCACGAGGGCGGCCCCAGGGAAAACAGAGTAGGAATAAAGGGAGAACAGGCAAGAAAATGCAGAAAAGAGGAGAGCTGAAATACTGACAAGCAATCGGAGAGGTTCRGGATTTGCACCCTGAGACCCTTAAGGGTTTTGCTGAACGTGTAGCCATCAAACTGCAGGAAAATGTATGGGACAGTGACAGAGACTGATCCTGTGCATCAATCTCCTGGCACCCCAAATGTTCTGTGCTTTGTTTTCAAAATAATGCACCTTCTCTGGTTATGGTATAGTATGTTATGGTATGTTATATTTTTTAGGTTTTAGAAGAGAATGGAGAACAAGTGCCCTGCTACTCCGTCATGGTGAGTTTACAAGAAGCTGGTGGAGCTGAAGCTAAGAACTGGACAGTGCCCAGGAAGCTCAGCGAGTTCCAGAGCCTGCACCGCAAGCTCAGTGAGGTATGTGCCGTGCCCAGAGCGCGTCCACAGAACGGRTGGAACGTTAAAACTTAATATTACCAGCTCTTGGATCACTGTTTTGGCTTTTAGCCTTTTAGAGTTGGTTTTCTGACCATGTATTTCTGGCCTCTGCTTAATGGTTATAAGGTCTTGTGAATAGCTTTTTTTTATTATTATTATTTTTTTTCCATTTACTAATAGGTATTTTACTGACCCAGTGCCCAAGTTGTGTACAGGCAGTACTACTGCATGTGCTTGTTTTAAATACTAGATTTTGTCTCTGGCTTCAGAGGATGTGTCAAAAATGACAGCTCCCTCAGGAGGAGAGGGTTTCCTTTCCTTTCAGATCGCAGCARGCTTTCTGTCTGGGAAGGGGAGATAATGATGGTGTTCTGAAGGGAAAGGTTTTAGATATGTCAGCCCATAGTGGGTAGGGGAGGGTGTTTGCCAGGGTGCTCAGGGGCTGTGGGAGGGTGCAGAGGGTACAGAGCACCTCTTTCATTTCCATTTTGCTCTGGAAGCACTGCTGAGCGAGCTGTTCTTTCTCCYGCACAGTGTTTTCCATCATTAAAGAAAGTTCAGTTGCCTTCCCTCAGCAAGCTGCCCTTCAAATCTGTAGATCAGAAATTCATGGAGAAGTCCAAGAACCAGCTTAATAACTTTCTGCAGGTAAGAAAACGAAGACTGTGGAGTGAGTAATAACAAAAGTACTCAATTAAAAGCTAAACTATAGGTTCACCTCTTTTGTGGTGAAAAGATTCAAAGTGTTGAGAGCCTTTGGTGAGGAGCAGGTCAGTGGCACTGAGCTTGTTCCCCACAGAGCAGGTTTGCTGCATGGTCAGGGGCTTGTGTGGCTCTGCACAGYGCTCGGTCTGTGCCCATGTGGGGTGAAGGGAAAGGGACTTGTCCTCTGGTGACTGCAAACTAGGCTAATAGKGCTGAGACTTGTGCCCGTGTAATGGAGAGTGTGGTGTGATTACTGCTTTTAGGGCACACGGAGTCTCCGGGGGACAGCTTCATTATTTAATTTGTTTAAAGTAAAAGATACTCTTAGGAGCAAGTGTGGTTTTGCGTCTGAGGATGAGTTAGTCTTTGGTTAACACCAACAATTTACAAATGCAGAATATGKTTTTTTTTTTAATTGTAGGGCAACCGATATTCAATATGGCTGCTTTTTAAAATGGATTACTTAAATTACACATGCATTGGTGGATTCAGGCATTTAGTGGTTAGTAGCCCCTGGAGAGTAGAAAAGTTACAGCTAAGGGAAAAAGTAGTTGAAGATGCTCATCAGTAGGAAGGCATTGTGTTAGACCTCAGAGAGCTTTTATTCTTTYGCTAGTGGCTATAGTGGCTATAAAGAAGTCAGGAATATTTCTCTCAGGGGTAAAATAATTGCTCCTCTAGTATCTTTAAAAACTAGAGAGTGGCTGAACTGGAGCAGAGCACCTTAATTTTTGATATGAACTCTACTTACTTTTAAACTGTTAATAGGATTTCAAACTTTGACAGGTTGCCACCTCGTCGTGTCAAAAAGCATTCTCTAAAAAGAAATGCATTAAAATATATCTTGGTAATTGTGAATCTAATGTCTCTTTCTTTAGTACTGTCACTGCACTTCACCAAACACGTAAAATATAGGCGGCGAGTTTTGTGCCTTTCTTAGTTTTTCCTTCCTTTCTGTTCCTGACAGTGCTGTTTTCCCCTTGCTCCCTGCTGGCTGTATCCCTGTGGTTATCGAGGTTCTGAGTAAGAATGCTAAAATAAGCAAAAAAAGAGACCTCAAGAACAGGTTCTGCTCCCCGAGCAGCGAGCGCGCTGCAGACCTGCCGCGGGCAGAGACCCGGCCGAGGGACCCGTTCATCCCTCCGCGTCCCGGCCTGATGCSTCTTGTCCTTAGCCTCTAAGGTGTGATTGGGGTGATGTTTGTCATTGTCTTTCTGCCATAGAAATTGCTCTCTGATGACAGACTCTGTCAGAGTGAAGCACTTTATGCCTTCTTGAGCCCTTCCCCAGAGCACCTCAAAGTTGTTGATGTGCAAGGAAAGAAATCCTCCTTTTCGCTCTCCTCGTTTCTGGAACGACTTCCTGGAGACTTGTTTTCTCATCAAGAGGTAAGCGGTAGAGAAGTGTTCCCAGGTTCAATTACTTATCCAAACTAAGCAGGGGGAGCCACTACCCATTTGGACAGGTAAAAATAATKAATTCTTAGGAAGCTTCTCGTGGCAGGGAAGAGCTTTGTCCTTCCTAACGCCCAGCCAGTTTCTGCAGCAAAGCTCATTTTGGACAAACGTCTGCAAGCAGCACAGTGCCCCAGAGGGAATCTGGAAATAAAAGTGGGGCCTCCATAGTTGAACTGCTGGAGCATTTGCTATCAAGGCGTTAAAATACCATCAGTTAAAAGGTGGCAAAGAATAATTTGGTGACTAAAGTAGATGATTGGCTGAGAATATACAAAAATGCCATGGCATTCTGTTTTGTGAGGTTCATGTTGCAGATATGCAAGCTGTAAAGACCCCTCACCATTTTCTTTCTTTGGTTTATATGTTATGTAACTTGAGAAGGTCAGCGGTGAAATAATTTGATTATTRAATGCGTAGGTGCCTGGAGTGCATGGTCATTTTGCAAGATAAATGGGGTCTGGGAAATTTATACAGTTCCAGCCTAATAGGCAAAAAGTCTTGCCTCTCTTAGGAATAAACAARTCCTGTACATATGGTGCAATATATATATAATAAATTTATATATAGGATTAAATTTGTTATATAAATCTGTGATATATATATATATAAATGTACATATATAAATTGCACTGTATTTGTAGCTAAATACTGCATGCCTGTATTTTATTTCAGAATTGGCAGTATTTATTCAGTTCTTCTATTTATTTAATGTTTTCTACCCCTGAAATGACTGTTAGATGGCAGCAGTGTAAAGGATGGAAGTATGAAACTATTTTTATTTTGCTATTTAATTGAAAAGTATTCTTAAGGAGAAAAGCCAGACTGCATATGTAGATTGCATTATGTGAGGGCGTAGGAGGAGATAGTTAAGAAAAATGGGGAGAGGAAAGGAGAATGTAATGAGAGAGAATAAAGAAATGAAGAAGCAGAAATAAAGCAATTGGTGCTGAAAAAGTGAAGGAGCGGAACAAAAAAAGTAAATCCCTAGGAATGTGGAAATAGAGGAATCAAAAATAGTATTAAATTAAAACTTGAGTAAGAAGTTATTTTTTTCCTATATATAGGACCAGGAACTTCTTATTGGGCAGGTGTTGCTATGCCCAGCAGTTGGCAGTGCAGATGAAGATCGTCCTGCTTCACATTCTCCTTCCCTCTCCTCTCTCCTCCCCTTCTGTCCTCTCTGCAGCCTGAAATGTAAGATGAGTGACAGAGTAAAGGTGCAGAGAGCGCAGGGAGCTCTTTGACCCTCTGCATCAGTCTGGCAAAGGCTTGTCCCAGTTTAACAATAGAATGAAACAAAGGGAATAGAACTATGACTAGACCTGGGATCAGCTTTACCTCTGCTCAGGCACCCCTGCTTTTTAGTGTGAGCTGTAACTAGCTCAGACTTACCCAGTGGTAGTGTTTGAGATGGCTTATCAGGGCCCTTAAACTAGGGTTATGTTATTTGTTGTAAGATTATTAATGAAGTTAGTTATATTACATCGCCTACCACTATTTGTGTTCTTTATGTATGTAAAAAATCCTGTTTTATTCTGTATTTGGGACTTCATAGAAGAACGTGTTGTCTTGCTCCCTTTTCTTCCAAGTCTCATCTCGCCTTCTTCAAATACATGTTAGAGCAGCAATATTCCCCCTGGAGCTGCTTTCAGGATTACAGACTGCAGCAATTTCAGGCCTCTCTTATTTATGCAGCTCTTCCGAAAGAACTCTAACCTTAGAATATATTCCTTGCCTCTGAAGACCAAAAAACCAAGTGAGAGGAAAAACAGAATTGATACTGTGGAGAGGAGGGCATTTYAGATTTATGAAGTGTCAGTGGATAGATAGAAAATGCACCATGATGTAAGAATTTGTACTTCCCATTGCATTTTTTAAGTGAGTTAAGTTAACGTGGGTCTCGGGAGGAGACTCAGTTAGGGACCTTCTCTTGTTCTCTGACCCAGGCTCCCTTCTTTTGCCTGGCAGCTCCTGTGCTCTCTGCAGCAGGCACAGGATGCTCTATCCCCCCTGCTTGCAGCAGTCGTTAGTGTTTGGGGCAGGATCATCCAGGTTTCCTCATGAGAGATTCCTTTCCTTGGCTCTTTCCTTTTTTGTTCCTTATCTCGAGCAGCCCCAGTTTCTCCTCTTTTTTTTTTTCTACATTAGGCTATGTTTTATTTAGTCCTTAGGTTTTGCTTTAGATTTTTCCAATTCAGCCATTTTTTTTCTTGGAAATGTGGTGTATAAACTTGATTACACAGTGCTCCTGCTGGGTTTTACTATCCTGTGGATGGTAATTGTWATACATATATCATATGGAGCAGTGCTTCTGCTTAAGCATCATGCCATTGCCTTTGCCTTTTCCACRGCAGCATGGTCCTCAGATCCCTTTCTGCAGAATTAGCATCATCAATTGATTCATTTTCTGCACTTACACAGTGAATTATTGATGCTTTACAACTGTCCTTAGGAGTCTGCACCATGTGTGTTTTTTGAGATTATTGCTTCAACTTGGCTAAACATATAAAAATGTCATCTTGTGACCTGGCAGTTTCTTTGCTCCTCTCAAGCCTACAAATTCAGAAAGGTACCCAATGCAAAATGGTATGGTATCCATTAGGAAAAAAAGAAAATCATGAGTAATGAAAATACTGAAGGTATTGACATGGAGTTTGCTCTAGCCTCTGTTCTTGGAGTAAACTTGTTGATCAGTGTGTTTGCGTGGCGAGATTGGCAATGATTTGTGGCTTCTAAGGGAGCTGGAACCCGCTGGTTCCAGCTGGTCCGTGTCATACGGGTTCTTTCCCCTGCCCTTGGTCACAGCTTCTCCCACCATGGGGAAGTTTTAAGATCCGGCTGCCCATGCGGCTGCGAGGGCAGGGAGCCCCGGAGTGTTCGGGAACACTCGGAACAGGCCGCCGTGAGCGGCCCTGCCGCCTCCAGCAGCTGCTCAGGGCTCCTGCTCTCTTCCCAGGAGGAAACGGAAGAGGACAGCGACCTGTCGGACTACGGAGACGAGGTGGATGGGAAAAGGGACTCTCTCGCGGAGCCCTGCTTCATGCTCATCGGGGAGATCTTCGAGCTGCGAGGAAGTAAGCTGTAAATTCGCGTGCTTGTCACCGGGGTTTGCTAGCCCAGAGACCGCAGGCGTGCGGTAATTCGGAGTTACTGGCTTTTGGTTTTTCAATAAAACATGGAAGTAAAAATGCAGGTGATARGGGACAGAGTTTGCACGCTGTTTTTTGTTTTGCTTTTTTCATCAAATTCTTTTTTTTTTTTTTTTTTCAAGAGGAGGCAAGTAGCAGTGCGTGTTTTCTGAAAATAGGCCGCATATGAAAAAGAGTGAATTATGATAAAAGAGAAAGTAGACTGCTTTACCATAGAACATGTCACTGGCAAATCAATGTGATTCTGGTGTCCATTTTAAATCCGTTACATAGGTGTTTTAGTTCTGTAATTTGTGTTAGGGRAAAGATGCTGGAACATCTGGCAGTACCAGATTTCTTTTTTTTTCTTTTCCTACGTGTATCATGGTTGTGAAGACAGCTATTTTTGTATCTTTTTGAAGGTGCAGTCACACATAGTGTTATATAAAATTATCTACAGAGCAACTCTTCTAAAATGTAGCCAAGAGTGGCAGGTGTATCCCCTAAATAAAGGATTTTCTTCTACTAAGGGTAAACAGGATGAAAAAAAGATTAATCAGATCTCAGATGCACTCAGATTTCTGTTTCCTCTAATTGTCATTACAAGCASACTGGTTTGTTCGATTGGAAATGTTTTCAGAACTTTAATGTTGCTGTCGTGTATATGACATATTAGTAGGAAAAAAAAGGGTTGAATTTTGTGTGTGGTTTGGAGCTTGTTTGTTTYTACTAGTGTGAAGCAGGTAGTTGTGCAGTTTACTAAACTTGAAATATTCTTAATCATAGAATACTCYAGTATAAACTACAGACAAGTAATATGGATTTTTCTTTTGGCTGTGATCGGAGTGTCCCTGAAGTAATTAAATACCTGATCTTCATTTGTCATTTCTGTCCCTTTTCATTGTTCTAGTGTTTAAATGGGTCAGAAAAACATTGATTGCACTAGTCCAAGTCACTTTTGGAAGAACCATCAACAAGTAAGTAGCTGTTTGCCTTAATTCTGAACCTGAATYGCTGTTCTATGGATAAAAGACTGAGAGTAGGATTGTTATCACCAATGCAGACATTCCATTGTATTCAATCATCTGCCCTTGTTCTCCGCCRCCCTATTTACCAATGTTATGTCCATCAGTGCAGGTTCAACTTGATTTATCTTTCTCCTTAATCTGTTCTACAGTCCCCAGACCAACTTTTTCTCCCYACATGGCTTTTCTTTTTGAAAGAGCAAATATATTTAATGGGAGACAGAATTATAAAAAGAGGGGTTTGATTTTTTTTTTTAAATGAAGCAGCTCTGCATATTTGATAATTTGCTGTCTTGTTTTTCTAAACAAGTTGGCTCTGCATGGCTTTTATTAGTGTGCTTTATTTTTCAGTCCCATGAAGATTTTTCTGAGATCTGAAATGATATTTCTGTTTTGGATTACTTGTTTCACGTTAAAATATTTCTCCAAAATGACTGAAATAATWGTTTTTATTTTGTAAAAACACTACACCTGAAACTTGTGTGTGTGACAGAGTAATGAATTTTCATAGAARCGTTTATTTCTGTGTCATTTGAAGATATATCTGCCAAATGAGGCATGGGTGAAGTAAGTGTTCATGCTTGTACATACCCTTCAAGTGAAAAATCTTCTATTTTAATGGTCAAGAAGATTTTTGGATATAAGCCTTCTGCTAGATGCAAAGACCTGTAGTAAATCCCTTGATGCAGTAGTGCAGGTAACTGTTGCAAACACATCATTTCCTGCGATTCTGCCACCAATACAGACACTCTCATGCATCATCTAGTGATGTTTTGTATATGAAATTCTGTGAATCTGAGATTCCGCTACTATATTCACAAAGGAACCCTGAGAATTCAGTGAAATGTGTCATTTTTGCTTTGGGGTAACAGGGGGACTGTTACTGAGGTAGTGCAGAAATCTGACGGCGGAACAGGCTGTTCTTTTGTCCATTCAGTGGCGAAGTTTGCACGTGCCAGCRCTGCTTGTAACAGCTGCTCGGGGAGGTTGCGAAGCGCCAAACTGCAGCAGAAGGGCTGCAAACTCTTGCCGCAGACTCCCGATGAGCGGCTGGTCTCTGACGTGTTTCCAGTGGACAGGACGGTTGGTTTGCACCCTGCAGACAAGTAGCATGAGAGATAGACCGGAGAGAGGCACATGCTGTGTGCATAGAAGGGCTGGTTGCTGGGGAGCGTGGGGCTTCTGTGCTGCATGAGCCTTTACGTTTGCACGGAAGGGTTTCTGCTGTCCTGTGGCGTAGCCGCAGCCTCCTGCTGCTCCTGGCTGGGCTCCTCGGCCCTTCGCGCTGAGGGTTGAGGGCAGGCGGCCACAGCAGGGGCTGCAGCCTCTTGTTACYGCCCTGCTGCGGCTGTGGGGGAATCTAACTGCCCTGTTATCAGAACTCTGATTTCCCCCACACGCTCAATCCTTCATCCCTTGAAATTCTAGTGATTTACCCACTACCTTGAAATGCAGGCTCCTCCACACCTCAGTCAGGTATGCAGAGGCACCCAGAGCTGAATTAGATTTGCCTGAAWTTTCCCCTGCTTCTAGGAGAAGCAGTCTGTGTAAAACCTGCCAGACAAGCTCTGATGTGCTCCCTTTTGACGCTTACCTACAGGCAAATCCGCGACACCGTGCACTGGATGTTCAGTGAACCAATGCTTGTGTACTACATCGGGGTGTTCCGAGATGCTTTTTGGCCAAACGGMAAGTTAGCACCACCCTCAGCAGCCAAAACTGAAGAGCAAAGTCAGGAGACAAAGCAGAGAGCACAGCAAAAACTACTTGAAAACATTCCAGGTGAGAACATTTTCATTTTTCTGCATAATCACAGACTTTTCTAGCAGGGAAGCTCATTAGCCAGATATTGTTCTGCTGCATCTTAGCTGTTTCCTATAGAATTTTAAATTCTGCTCATTTGCATAAATAAGTGTAATGTTGGTCATACCTTTACCCCTCCTGCCTGCAGCTGGTAAAGGTCATGGGCTCATGTACAGGAAGAGCTGGCAGAGTATTTCTGTAAGTATTGCTCACCAAGGAGCCTAAGATGAGACTAAAAGTCTGCTCTCACCTGCTTAACTAGGTTGTTGTTTCCCACGGTTGTTGTGAAAGGAGGAGAAATGTTTAGGACRAAGCTTTTATGCAGTGAAGCTTTGACTGTGCCCAAAGTCAGTGCTGAAGCATTAGATCCCTGTTTCTTCTCCACTGAAATTTAATCCAAGCTGTAAATAATTCACTTAGTCGCTTGTCCACTTAATTGTGACACTGTTTGCTGTGAAGACTGAGAGTAAATTAGAATGCTGAATCTGTACTAACTGCTGTAGGAGGTTTAAGTGACTGGTTTAATAATATATGAGACAATAGTAAAACATATGTCCCATTTTTCTGGATGTTTGTATGCTGCTATGGAATTCAGAATCCTGGAGAATAAACATCTCTCTAAATCTGTCCCAAATTACCCATGTGTTGTAAATACCTTGTTGTACAGAGACTATGCATCTTCTCACCCTCCACCATTAAGTACACAGGTTTTGTTTCTCCTTTGTATGTATTTATTTGCTGGATATTTTGCCCAGGCTGAGTGAATCACTTCAAACCAATGTCCCATTTGTTGCAGATACTCTGCAGAGTCTTGTTGGACAACAAAATGCCCGCCACGGTGTAGTCAAAGTATTCAATGCATTGCAAGAAAGGAAGGCAAACAAGCATCTACTCTACGTAAGTAATTGGAAAGATACCCTTTAATTTTATATTAAAATTAAAGCACTAATTGCTGAGCTCTACTTGCTCAGTAGAAAAACCTGGGTGTGTTTCTGCAAATCTATATCAGCATATTGTTCTAGGTTTGCATATAACTTTTAGTATTAAAAACAAACCAAAAAAAAAAGAGCATGAACTTGATTCATATTGATTAAATGCATAAGGATGTTTAAAATACAATATTGCTTTTGTCTAAAAGAGATCCTCAATATATGCAACAGTGCTGACCTCACAGGGTGCATACTAATTTTAGCAGGGTGCCAGGTAATTTTAGGATGGGGTAAAAAAAAAAAAAAAAAAAAAAAAAGCTGTCCCAAGAAGGATGCACCAAGTGACTGACTCCATGTGCTTCTGTTATCTTGTTTTAAGCATGCCAGAAAGGAAGAACATCTCATTAGGCATCTGTATTCATCTTCATCTTTTCTGCTTTTCAGGTCTTGCTGGAATTGCTGCTAATTGAACTGTGTCCTGAGCTAAGAGCTCATATAGAGCAGCTTAATGCCACTTAGGTTTGACTCTCCACACGTGGACCACTAGAGAAATGTCTATGTGCAATAATAGACATGAAACTTATTTTCCTCTTTTCCATAGAGGGCTGAGGACTATGATTATTTTTAGTTTTTTTTCTCTTACTTTTTTTGTGAAGTAAACAGACTTGAAAAGATCTGATGCTGTAGTAGGGTAGATAAAACAATGCTGTATAGTTGCCAATTTTTATTTAAATGGTTCTATTTGACTACTCTTCTGTTTCAAATATAGACTGAAAAATAAATGTTCATATAAGCTGAAAGAAAATAGCAGAAACTATTTTAAACATTTATGGGAAAAAAAAAAGGTTTTGCTTATAGTGGTAAACTAATGAATGTTGTACAGTTCTAATCTCCTCACTGAGGATCTCAGCATTCCTTTATTCTTGTGTTTTGAAAAAGTCTTGTTGTGCAATACTACATGTAAAGCTATTGTGAAAATTTTATCAATTTTGTTTTTACCAAAGATTTCCCATATGTTGAAGCATTTGTAAGCAATAAATAACAAAACTGGATTTCCGTACTTGATAATGAGGCTGTACTAACTACTAATGAATGTGTTTGACAGCCCTTGTTTCTTAAAGAACACTTTCATTACTCTTAAATCTGCATCCAAACTGTGTGCTGTGAACAGACGTGTTGCAACAGGGGGCCTGCACTAAGYGTCAGTTCAGAGATCAGTTCTCACAAACTGCTTCTCTGAACAATCAAGTAGACATTTAATTAAGCCATTCTGACTGCACCCCTGATATTACTCGGGGCTCTTTTATTCAGATAACCCAATTTGGACCAGTCTTCAAATATTTCCCGTGTTTTATGCAAAGGAAGGGAAAAAAAGGTTCAGTGTTTTTTAAGTTGCATAAAAATACGTAAATATGGTCAGAATGGACATCTAAATCAAATATCATCCAAAATCCGTAGGTGACATTCATTACTTTTTAAATTGCAGCTGAGACTGGATATGGCTCAGGTTGCAGAAATACAATCCACAKGCTGTTTTGAAATGCAGATTATTAGTAGCAGCTAGCCCTTCTCTTGCAGTACAGCCATGACCTTTTCATGTCACAGTAAAGTGCAAAGAAGCTAGCCAAATTCTCCTACACATATGAAGCAAATACAGAGATTGGGGTAAGTATGGCAGTCAGTAAAATTTATTACTTGYTAATTGAAGTATCTTATGATAAAAGATTGAGATGTTGCTCAGACATGTACAATCCTGACCCAAAATCCTTCAATTATTTCTAAAATAAACAGCTAGCATAAGTGCAGTATAAAGGGCTGAGGAGAACAAGCCTAAGGCAGAGGCTGAATTCCCTAATGATTCCATACTGAGTGTTTTTTTCTTTTTATAGTTTTTTCTTTAAGAAAACTTTCTAAAGTTTTCTTATTCTTTAGATCGGATTTTTCAGTATTATAAGTTGGCATGGTTTGAACCTTTAGGCTTTGAATCTGCAATATAAAGATAAAAATAAATAAATAAATGTTAGGACACTAGTAGATGCAGTAGAAAAGCATGTGTGGAAAAAAAATGTATGTACTACTAGCAAAGATGGCATTTAAAGATGGCATTTGCCATAAAGCCAAGCCACGATGGAGAATGGGCTGTACATGAAAACTAGACACGTAGAGTTTCAAGCATTTCAAAGGAAGTATACTTAATATTTAAATATTTTAAAAAGCAGAAAATGAAATAATTATTTGTATTTGGTTTCACTTTATCAAGCCAGTGCTTCATTAAGAAAACACAGGGATTCAGTTGCAGTTAAGTGTCCTTAGTATAACTAAGTTAACTGCAACTGAATCCCTGTGTTATACTATTTTTAAAAGTCCRCCTTTGCTACATCTGAGTTTAAGTGAGACTGTGACCTCTTTGCCTTTTGTAAATAAAATACTGCCAAATTGTTTTAAGTAGTAATTTATAGACGGTTGAAAAGCAAGCAGTAAATGATGATCAGTCTGTAACTGTTCAAGATTAAAGATGGATTAGTGTAGGAAACTTGTTTATACACCAGCCATAACTAAAGGAGACACTAAATTCTCCCAAGATTAGCTTTCAGTTCAAGGTCAGAAGCGACAGCAGGATCCAGAAGGCATGCCTTGAAAACAAAGAACAGGGAGTTCTGGTTTATAGCTAAACTGCAAAATTTTGTTGTCAATGCAACACCAACAAGGTCTTCTAATTTGTAAGCTTTGTTGATGGTATCCAAAATCATCAACTTCTTGAAACGTTATAGACTTAGTATATTCCACTTTGAATTTCTGATTCTSATGTCCCATAGGACTCAGTACGAGTGCTGCTTAAATTGGCACCTTCATTGTAGTGTTAGGCTTTGCTTTTATTTATTTCTTTATTACTGTCACTGTTTGTTGTTAGGGTAGGTGACACCACAGCCAAAGGGGSATCTGCTTGAGGGATTGGCTCAGCTTTGCTCATTGCCATCCATTCCAGGACCCTCTGGGACACCTGGCTTCCATTCCTTGCCTCTCTGAGAACTGAGTGGGCCTAAGAGGGGTTACTTTAACAAAGCAACATTTTCATTTTACCCCTTTGAAATGGGTATAATTGTGCAAGCAATGTTGAAGTTACCTTCCAAGTACAAAATTCCAAAGAAACTGAACATCTCTGTACCTCTTGTCTTATACTTGTTCTGAAGTTACCACTTCAGATAGTTTTCTTGTGTATTTGGTCTGTCTGTTCGCTAGTGTTGGCATCAGCTGACAAGACCACAGTCCAGTCTGCCATCCCTTTTCATGGTAAGGGGTTACTGACATTCCTAGGCAAGTCCTAGATCTCCTGCCAGTGAGGAATTCCTCAAGCTGTTATTTAACTTTGGGTTATTCTAGGGTAGGCAGAAAAAAATGGGGAAAGTGTTGGGGGCACATGGAAACRATGCAGTCCTAAGGTACCTCCTCCATTCCTTAAGGCATAGACTAAGCCTGTTGGCTCCTGTGGTCCTAAAATCCCAGAAAGGGATTTTAGGGAAGGGAATTCCTTTCCTTCCCTGACCTCCTCTTTCTGTCTTTTGTGTTTTAATTTTCTTCTGTGAAAAGTKTTAAAGTGTATGTATGCATCCAGACACTCAGCTGCTCTGCTAGGCCTCTTTCTATCAGAGCTTTCCCCAAGTAAGCCACAGAAGTTGTTGGTTGATACATGACTGTTTACAGAGTTCTCCATTTATTTGTATTTCAGCAAGCTGGACACTGAAGTAGCTTATTTACAGAAACAATTGATCTCTACATACAAACAGAGATCACAGAGCATCTTTGAAGCATGAACCCTGTCTTACTGCTTCTCTTAGCAGAAGTAACACACCTTGGCTGCCTTTAAACATTACTAATAGTGTTGAGTAGAATTGTCCTCTAGAAGCCATTATTATCTTCTTCCTCAAGCAACTTTGGTTTAAACTTTGGTTTAAAGCACTTTGGTGCTTTAGAAAAGTGACCTCATTTTGTCTGTCAGTAGTTCCCTAACTATYGGTGCTAATACAAACATAAGTGAGAGAGTTATGAGCAACTTCAGCATTAAAAAAGGCTGTGGTTGCCAGAATAAAAACACGTACTCTGACCTGAAGTGAGATTTGTTGAGGGAGTGGGAGGAGGAAAGGGTGTGTGTGTGTGTGAGAGAGAGAGAGAGAGAGTGAGAGAGTTATGAGCAACTTCAGCATTAAAAAAGGCTGTGGTTGCCAGAATAAAAACACGTACTCTGACCTGAAGTGAGATTTGTTGAGGGAGTGGGAGGAGGAAAGGGTGTGTGTGTGTGTGTGTGTGTGTGTGAGAGAGAGAGAGAGAGAGAGAGAGAGAGAAATAAAAATAGATAATGATGGCTTCTAGCTTCCTTTTCAGTGCGAGGGAAGGATAAAAACCAAAGCAATTGGGGATAACTGTCATCCATGGAGTGACTTGTTAACATTCAAGATAATTCAGCTCAGCTCTTTGCTGTGATAATTGCTGTGGGACGTTTCTGATTTGGCCACATGCTTTGTTTGCTTACACAAGTGAGCCAACAGTGTCCTTCAAGACTATTTTTAGTCATTTTTGGATGGTCTTTTTTTTCACTGTATTCCTGCACAGATTAACATAATGTACAAGCACTTAATGTAACCATACAACAAAGTCTAAAGACTCCAACCCAAGGCATTACACAGTCTCATAAGCTATCGGTTAGTTTGTAAAGAGTTTCCCTGCTTACCCTAGAATAGTATTTTTTAGCAGCAGCTTCATCTTGGTGTATGCCTAGGCCAAGCTGGAGACATCTAGCAAAGTAGAAAGCAGCCATAGCCGCCCCTTTGGCTATGTACGTGGGAAGACAATCAGTTATCTTTGCTACTACAGCAATGTTAACATTTTCCGGAATCCTGTTACAGAATTTACAGCATTGGTTAGGAAAAAGAAATTCAAATATCAATTTAAGTCAGGTATACAAATAGAGATATTATTAATGTAARTTCCATATCACTTAAAATATATGAATGATAATATACTTTTCCAAGAAAATACAGGTATCCAAAATAAACTGATAAACTATTTGACATCCTGAAGAGGATTCTTCAATACTGGATTTTAAATTATTTGATATCACAATATTTAAGCTTTAATTTAAGCTCAAATCATTAGCTTTTACAGTTATTTTCATTACATTTGTACTAGTTACAAAGTTWCTAGTTATATTTTTCACACTAATACCTTCTATTAAAATTAAAAGGTATGCACATATCCAAATATACGTATGTATGCTGAAGAAAGGCAAAGCTTTCGTTTCATAGGCAGTGGCATAGTCTGGTTAACAGACTGAAGTCTTCAACAGTTGCTGTCCAGGTTTGGTGGGTTGCAACAGAATTGTGCTGCTTATCAACTGCAGAACTGTCACCAGCGTTGCAAGAGCAAGAGCATTAACTTAATTATTTCCATATAAGTTACAGAGAATTATAATAAAAGTAAAGCAAAATTAACTTCACCTTTTGGCTATTGATACAGCTGTTGAGTAGAATTTTCTGTTGTAATAATATTCCACAAGATGGCCTTGAGCATAGACATTTCCACGTTCTGCCGCTTTCTTCAAACACTCCAAGCCTGCATTAATGTTTTGAGGAGCACCTTGTCCATAGAGATACATGACACCCAGCGCTCCTTGGGATTCCAGATTTCCATTGAGACACGCTTCCGAGTGCCAGAAAAAGGCCTAAACAGGAGGTACAAAGTTGTCCTGTATGTATCTCAAGTAGCATTTTGCATTACCTGAGTAGCAGGTAAACTGGGGCTCACAAGGCTCTGATGGTTTAAGCAGGCTTACCTTTTCCACATCTTTTAGAGCTGACAGAGAGTAAAGCAGCCCTAAAGTACTCTGGGCCTTTACACTTGCTTTTGGATTGCCATCATCGGCAGCAATAAGCCACAGTCTAACAGGACAGAGACAAAGGAAGYTTAAGGGGCACAGCAGCTCAAGATCTTAAACTCATCAGGAAAATTACTGGCTGTAATTACCTTTCAGCCTCTTCAGTTGACTGCTTAACACCACATCCTTCATAATAAGCTCTACCAAGATTGTAGGCAGCTGCAAACTTCAAGTGTTTAGCGTCTGGGGAATCAGAGTTGATTATTTTCTTCATGTATTCCACTCCCTTTTCCTAAAATTTAGAATTTTTCAGCA